CAAATGTGTCATAGGTGTACATAATTGTATTCTATGATATTTACGTATGTCACACGCTTGGTCATCAATGTTTATAACACCAATCTAATTTACTGGATACAGTAATGTGATAATTAGTAGTATAGGTCAGTTATTAGAACCTCAACCGATTTTGTGTTTGAATATGTTAACGTGACCTTATAGTTGTATTGGTACATTTTATTATTAATTTTAAATTCCCTCAATCCGCCTGTGGTACTGTAAGTATTCAGAAGGGAGAATATTTATAAAATGCCCAATAGAACCAAGGTTTTTCCGTTATACTCCTAATTTATTTTTTAATATGAAGGTAGCTGCATATTGACTTTCATTAAGCAGTGCAGAGAATGTGAACTTGACAGAAATGTGAATATTATTATTATTATATGTAGTACAATTTGATGTTTTGCATCAAATGCATGTCTGTTTACCCACGAAGACGTATTTGCATCAATGTCAGCTATCAGATTTTACCATAATTCAGTATTTCACAAATATTTTTGCCTGTGTTTTGTCACATCCCTTCAAAAATGTTTGAAACAAAATTACGGCTTAGAACTTAAAATTTGTTGTGATTATTATTACACCATATTCGCAAATAATTTAGTCGTTAATTTATTTAAATAAGAAAATTTGTTGTTTTCACTTATATTAAATATTTGACAGTTGGTCAGATTAATGTATTTCTCGAAAATGTAATTACAATGTTATATTTATTTCACTCCCCTTAAAATGTGTTATATTTATTGTTATTTTTTTCATAATTTAGATAACAAAATACTATTCTAAGGTACCTATTAGTTTTGAATCAGTTTCAAATATTTTGTAATTATATTATAATAAATAGCCCCTTATCAAGTAAAACAACAATAAATATCCAAATCGAAAGCTATCAATTGAAATGAATCAGTGAAATAAAAATGCTTAATGAAGAACTACTACATCTTTTGATCCATATGACAGGCAAAGTGAATGTTGAAACAATTCTACAAGAATTTAACAATATTTGTCTACATTATAGTTGCTTAATTTACTTTGAGATTGTACATTGTGAAATCAAAGACTGAATAATGTTTGAATTTGATCCAGCACCAGCAGTCGCGGCGAACAGTTACATTCTTTGTAAATACCTAGTTCATTGTACGAGAGGTATTCTTTGAAATTGTCATTAACGTAATTGTAATTATCGTTATTGACAAAGTTATTTAGTGCCAGTTGTACAGTCGCGGAATGAAAAGGTTCGTCAGTTTTCAAATTGATTCCTTCAACGAATCGCGAGCACATATTACCTTTTGAAACTATGTTACAGAATAATCTCGAGTTAGAGGAAATAATCTTTAACTGTTCGTCAGTAAAGTTCAAAATTATTCAGATCAAAGTTGTTTGACGATTCATCTTGTCAAGAAGATTATTATGATTGATAAACTAAAACCTTCTTGTTGGTTCAACCTGCCATTATTATTTCTTTTAAATAAAAAAAACTATTGTCAATTGGTCAATGTCATCATTGCATTGCACTGATGGGATAGAAAAATAAACAAGCAAAACCTTATTCGTTAGCAAACGTCATATTTATTTAAATGTTAGCAGCACTGTTTCTTGTACTGTTATGTTGGCAGGTTTGACTCTTACAGTACCTAGTGCAAGCGAAAACCGACACTAAGGTGACGAACCTTTTCATTCCGCGACTGTACATAACAGTGTATTTAAGGCTAGCCAGACAGCAGAGCCACATTAAATCTAAGTGATAAGAGATATCTGAAATCACAAAAACTGTGTAACCAAGGAATAGGAAATATTCAGACAAATAAGAGTTATTAACACACGTTACTTTAACCCGCTGTTAGTAAGTTTTGGGGAGCATAATGCTTCATGGAGCGATGGAGACTGACTCCCGTATTCACAAACATTACTATGAAGTCTCACAGTGCTCGTGGACGCTCAGGGTGACACAAACCAATCACAGAGCTCTATTCAATGCTGTGCGTTTGATTTTCTGCTTCACTTGAGTAAGCATCGTTTTTGAAAACGGGCGTGAGTCTTTTGGATGTTTTATGTGTGCTGTTTGGGTTGCTGGTCATTGCAGCTAGCTTACAAAAAGTCGTTAAATAAATATATTCAGAGTAGAATCAAGCGAATGTTACTGCAGAAATAATACGATCAAGTTTCTACGTAGAATTAATCCATTTCCACAGATTTCAACTTGTGTGATATCATCCCAAAGTGACGCAATAGTATTTTTACACTATTTTTTTAAAGAGATTGGGGCTATATTTTAATATTTCGAAGTTGATCGAATCACAGTGCCTAAGAAAATTATATTAGGACTTCGTACGCAAAGCTAGCTTGCCGTGCCATTGTATTAACGTAGCGCGTTTAGTTTCCAACAGAGGACGGATTTTTTTCATTGAATTGACTGTTGTATGGTAACCTTGTATATAACATACATTAATGGTTTATTATAAATCTAAATGTAAGACAAACTTTATTAAATTCTTTGTTAATATAAGTTTACTGTGGTTTTATTTTATGGCGATTGTAAAAGGCAGTTCTTAACATGTACTACACTAAGGACATAACTTTGTAAGAACTAAAATCCTACTTTAATATTATAAATGCAAAAGTTTGGATGTCTGGATGTTTGTTACTCTTTCACGCAAAAACTACTGAACCGATTTTGATAAAACTACAGTATTATTGTTTATAACCCAGAATAACATATAGGCTATAATTTATGACGATCTGTGACGAACGAAATTTCACGCGGGTGAAGACGCGGGCAAAAGCTAGTGGACCTATAAAAGATCCATGGGAACTAGAGATGGGCCGACTAGTCGCCGACTAGTCGGGAAAGCCGACTATTCGGCATCATTTGTAGTCGGCCGACTAGTGACGAATATTCGGCAAAATATGCCGATTATAATCGGCGCATTACATAATTAAATGTGTGAATGAAATAAAACTCATAATCACCAAAATGATTATGAGGTAGACCAAGGGCGTTTATCTAATCCACTTTTGACTGCAAAAATCAGTCAAAAGTGGTTTCACCTGATTTAAAATTTTGGCAATCAGTCTAAATTCATACAAAGTTAAGATTAGGTAAAAATACCAGGAAATCGTAACAAATGTGTACTTAAAGTTTATGCCATTTGTCCATATAAAAATTATGACACTATTTATCGGGGAANGGTAGTGGGTTCAGTAAGGGTTGCAACCCATATAGTAAACAATACATTTTTATGGCTCTCCATTCAGTTAGTCAAATAATTTCATCATAAATGGAAATATCCGTAACCCTCTTCTACACATTATTCATTATTCATCATCCATCATCATTTCAACTATAGAACGTCCACTGCTGAACATAGACCTCCCCCAATGATTTCCACAATGGCCGCTTGGTGGTGCCCTGCATCCAGCGCCTTCCTGCTACCTTTATGAGGTCGTCGGTCCACCTTGTGGGTGGACGTCCTACGCTGCGCTTTCCGGTACGTGGCCTCCATTCCAGAACCTTGCTGCCCCATCGGCCATTAGTTCTGCGTACTATGTGCCCTGCCCATTGTCACTTTAGCTTGCTAGTCTGTTGGGCTATGTCAACGACTTTGGTTCGTTTACGGATCTCCTCCTCATTTCTGATTCGATCTTGTAAAGAAACACCGAGCATAGCCCTCTCCATAGCACGTTGTGCAATTTTGAGCTTATATTTTATAAGGCCTATATTGAGAGGCCACGTTTCTGAGTCGTATTGCACACATTACAATACACACATTATTGCAGATCCATTATGTACGCCTTTACCTATAGTTTTATATGCCAGCTAACGTACACAAAAACTGCTGATACATGGTGCAGATAATGTGATAACATTTTGGTGTACCTACCTACTGCAAACCTGCCTATTGGATTCTTTCGGAAAAAGTTAGTATGTGAGTGACTTTGATTGTTTTTCGAACGAAGATAATAATAATAATAATAAATCTTTGGACAATTTCACACTGCGCCAGCTAGCCCCAAAGTAAGCAACTTAATGCTTGTGTTATGGGTACTAGGTTAACGGATATACTACTTATATACTTTTATAATAATTGGTAAAGGTTAACGGATATACTACGTATATAATAATTGAAGACATGAATGGAAGAAGGTGATAAATGTCGAATTTCAGATTTTTCTCAGTTCNTCGGGGAAAAAAAAGCATGGAATTGCATACCTACCCTGCCGGGAAGTGGTAGATTATATGGGGCTCCTCTCATCGGAAGGATTAGGAATACCCTCATTAATAACCCCTGAGCTCCGTCGATCGCCTTAGTGTAAAGAACTATGGGAATCCGTACAAAGCCATCAACTATCACAGTCCGTCCCGGCATTGCCCACCTGTATGGCGGGCCCTGCCTATCCGACGGTGGTGGTAGTCCGTGCAATGAAGGCGGGGATACCCCAACGTCCTCAGCTCGCTGACCATCACCATGGAGGGTGGAGAGGAATCAGTGGGCCTAAGATGCGCGCCGCAATAAGCGGTTATCACGCCATTTTATCAATTTTTCCCATACATTTTGACGTCGATAAGAATATCACGGCGCTCATCCTAGCCCAGCTGGAGGCGATCATATTGTCACCTCCCCTGACCCCTCCGCCGTCGAAAATAATGACATCTACCTTAAGTACTGTTAGGTGATTGTAATGTTGCTTTTTATTTTACCTCATATTAAAGAAATCTTATTTCTCAAGAAGTTATATGTATATCTCTTAAGAAATCTAGATATTCTTATTATTCTTCGGACAAGTAAGTAGGTATTAGGAATGATTTGAAAACCGATTAGTCGGCTAGTCGGTTAGTCGGCAAAGACCATAGTCGGCCCATCACTAATGGGAACTAATCATTGCATTATTTTAATAATTGGACTCCTAGAATTTTGTGTCAAGTTTTATGGAAGGCCTGGATTAAAATTTCAAATATTCGAACTTATTTCTTTATTTACAGTAAGTATGCAGTTACAAAATCTTATCACTCTAAATATTTTATGCTATAGTTATTTAATTAAATATTTTTAATGCTAGCAAGCCTAATGTATGAAATCCAACCATGAGTGGCAATTAAATGCCAGAAATTGCCTTAAATGTCCAGGTTGTCTTGCTACTGTTGCTGTGTGCAATTCATGAATAAGTTCATATCCAGCATCAGGTCTTCATTGTCAAATTCCTCATCCTCTTCAAATTCTTCCATGAGAAATGGTTTTCCTCTACCCCTGTCTGCAACAATGTTCAATTGGTTTTATTATTGTTAAATTATTCACAATTTTAGAAAAGTAAATACTTTTTACATTATTTTTTTTCATGTAACTGAACAAGTATTATGATAACTAAGAATTATTTCACATCAGTCTCAATATAGGGTACTAAAGCAGGTAAATATTTTTCTACTGGGAAGTGTTTTGTTAGAAATTTAATTCAAGGAACTTACTGAGCGCTCGAGTAACACCCAAATCAAGTGCCTCCATGTTGCATGAAGCCTCAGTCTCTAGAAAATTTCTGATGGGCGTACTGGGAACCGACTGAGATGGATGTTTCCCTGTTGTAAGAGGCTCAGAAGTTGCAGCTCCCTTTGTAAAAAGTGGTGTTGGCTTCGGTGCGTTTTTCGCTGCTTTTTGGTTTGCCGGTAACTTATTTACTATCTCATTTTGCATGCTTTCCAACTGCAGCCTTTCAACCTGGAACAAGTCTAGAAGAATATAATATGTATATTCTATTAAATTATTAAATAACAATAAAGTTTCTAACCTGTAAAGCATTGCGCTGAGCTCTAATTTTCGCTAAGGCATTTTCTATCCACTTTCGTTCCGCAAGAAGCTGCGCTTCTTCACGCATCCGATTTGTCAACGAATAATATTTTGCATCATTCATAATTACTTATAATATTTAAAAAAAACTAATGTATTTATTGAAATACTTAACAAAGAAAAACAAACAATCATCTCAACAGCTGATTGACTGACAGTGCAACTGACGTTAGTGACAATTATGACAACAAAAATCTAATTTCGCTTTTTGTCTATTTTGCCAATGATGGGCTAGACGACGTTTGTACTGCATGTTTATTATTGGCTAGTAATTACGAAAGAGGCCAATATGATGTGCAACTGGGTTTATTTATTTTTAGTTCGCCTGCAGTTGTGTGAATAAAACGCACTGAACGTCACAACGAAATATTGTTTATGTTTCAAAAATACCTCCAATTTTATCGCGCAATTTATAAATATCTAATTATTCAACAACCAGTAGCCAGTTGTACCAGTTGCCTCCGTGCGGGATCTACGCTGTTTTATTTCGTCGACATCATCATCCCCTTTTGTCGTAAAAGCTAGTAAATATGAGTTCATTTGAGTATTCGGACACAGAATGCGAGTACGAAGTATGTGGGCGCCGTTCCAACTCAGGCTCGGCTGCGCTGCCGTTTGACCCGTCTGCTTTGGAGAAGGTGATACTCACCATCAGTGATAGCTTCGATTTCCGTGTGGTGATGAGTGATGAACGAGTCAAGGGCGCGATGTTGGTCACCACGGGCCTGGCGCTGGCTGGGGGGCTCATCGGGAACCATTATGGAGGGAAAATTGGCGCGGTCGTTGGAGGAGCGATCGGTGGAGCTTGCGGCATTGGCATTGTTGGTTAGTTACATTAAATACCTACTTATCTAAAAATGTGTGAATTTTATAGTAGCTTTTTCGCTAAATAATAGAAGGGCGAGAATAGGGTAACCACCTTTAAATCCGTTATAATATTTTTGAATCTACCCCCAAATGATCATAATCGGATACCTAGTAAAAATGGATATTTTCCTAACAAGGGGATTTTTGCGCCCATAAATATGCATGTTTCATTCTTAGATTTAATCAATTTATTATAAGATTTGTAAGTAGGTAGCAACGAAATATTAATGATAATGAGATAAATACGTCAGTGCTAGACTAATAAAGATAAAGCTGCACAGCTGCACAAACAATAGGTATAATATGTTTACAAGTTCATACAAACTTTCATTTATAGATAGATAAAAACAACGTAGATTTGATTAAGCGCCTACTTATTAAGTACGCCAAAAGTTTTCTAAACTTTCTTTCGGTGTGCATAATTTAAGGGTAGGTATCTGCACCACTTTTATCAATCCGGTGCATTAGTTTGGACTTGTAGCTGTACTGGCAGGCCTTTTTGCTATCAAAAAACACGATAATTACTTAAATTATAGGTAACCTATATTGCTTGATCGTCAAATCCTCAACTCCATTATTTTGGTCCCCAGCCGTATCGATGAGGGACATTTGGGAGGAGATAAAGTCGAAACTGTCCGAGCTCTTCGACATCGTGTACGACTATCTGGCCGGCATGGGGCTGGACGACTACAAGCGTGCCGCCATGTTCCTGGCTCAAAATAGCGGGAACACCACCCAGCTGGCCTCGGTCATCGCGCAGACCGCCTCGGGCCTGCTGGGAAAGAGGATCCTATCCAGCTTGACTGCTGCTTGAATTATGATGAAGGTTAAGGTTTGAAGGCTTGTAATATGAGCTATGATTTTTATTAATTTACAATTTATTATTCAAAAAATGTGACATGATATTTTACTTGTTGTTGTTGGATGACTATCTACCGTCATTGTTAAAAAAATAAGTTTCAGATATGCTATTTTTGAAATGTATCTAAAAGACCTCTTCGTTTATGTTATCGCATGATATTTTGATAGCAAAAAATAAAGAAAACGCGAGAATAAAGGTATACTGTATTTAATAAAATGAATTGAATGTAGGTACCAGGCATGATAATACTTAATGACTTCTGATAAATTTCATTTAAAAGCATAAGGCAGGCCTTGTGTTGTTTCAAACAAAGTTTATAATTGTTCTTTAAAAAGTGTAACTCGACTGGAGATTAAATTTTAGTAAGTAAGACGAATAATGATTAAATATTTTTGTATCGATCGTTTATTTTATTGACCTAAATAAATATTTTACTAAAATGTTGTGTTGTGTTATACTATTATTTACATAGGTACTTAGTAGTTTATTGCATATCTAACCTAACCATTGTGTGTACACGTGAATAGGCTTACAATCAAAGCTTACAATCATGGGCCCTGCTGATAGTCCAATCAACTAGAGAATTAAATAAAAAGAATTCCATTCCAGCCTGGTATCTGACATAATCGCGAGAATAATACTTACCTACCCTCATCATCTTAGAGAAACTTAACATTTTGGTACTAAATTACAATAATTTAACCCTTATTCAAATAAAGGTAGATATATTACCACTTCGTTTACTTTTAAAAAAGGATCCTAATTTTCGATATGGTGATACTTTAAGATATTGTGGTCACTTATTTATATTTTTAAATATATTTTTTTACTTATCTATGCCATCTTACAACTTTTCAACGTCATTTGTCACTGTCAGGTAATGTCAAAGTCAACCAAACGGTTTTGGTGTGAAAAATTTCAAGTTTTTAGCGCGCGTTTTTGGTATTTTTGAAACTTTGTTCAACGAAAATTCTGATAAGTGTTTTTTAGATTCAAAATCCTAAACTATAACATTTATTGTATAGTCTCACTTATAGGCAGCGTCTGCAATTGATTTATTCATATAGTTTNGCCACCTCTTTATTTGTTATTTTTACATCGATATTTCATACTCACTAGTGGATTGTCTATGGTAAATTGGTGATTGACACTAATTGACAGAAGAATCAGCTGTGCGTAGATTTGTGTCGCGGAATTTTGTTTGTGTTTGTTGGTTGTTGTGGTGGGTAAGTATTTAGATAACAAAATAGTGTTATATTTAAATTATGAGCTACATTGTGCTTCGCGATCTTGCAGTGAATAACTAAAACAGCTGATTAATCTTTGCCCAGATACGTCGTTCTTTCCACGATGTCTTTGGCAATCCAGCCTTATGTATCCAACGAAGTGAGGTTCGATCCGAATTGGATTGAGCAAATTCTATTACAAATCGGTGAGTAATTATATTCGTTCTAATTCCCTTACACATGTTGTAAGCATGTGACTTAAGTCACAGTACATTTTATTAAAAAAGTCTGTCCTATCCACCAACCTTTTGTGAGCAATAAAAAGAAGTATGACTTTGACCATTGTGCAGTTGTACTTTTTTTAAACAATTTTGAATTCTCTCCAACAAAAATAGGCAATCAAACGCCTATTTTTAAGAATTTTGTCCTTTCAATTCCATTAAAAAAGGTCTTCAATTTCAGCTGACGCATTTGACATCCGTATACAATGGGACAGAGACACAGCGATCATGACCGGAGTGTTCACAGTGGCGGGTGGCCTGATCGGTGGGTTCGCCGGTGGGAGGATGGGGGCAGCGCTCGGTGCCGGTATCGGTGGTGCGACTGGGTTAGGAGTTTCCAGTAAGTGTTGTACTGATACTGTAGTATGCAAGTCTTGTTTTTCCTCATGATCATCATCATTTCAGCCACAGATCGTCTACTGCTGAACATAGGTCTCGTCCAATGATTTCCATATTGATCAATTGGTAGTTGTTGATATTTTTTTCCTATTATTTATTATTCCTTCAAGTTGTGTCACAACTATTTTGAGTTCAATCCTTACTAGTGATGCTCATGCACAGATTTGCTGATCCAGATCTGTGTGCTCATGACACTTCATTAACTACTCTTTCATTCTTGATGTTCTATTGAAGATTTTATGGGTCTATAAATAATTAAATAGTCAAATTAAAAAGTCCTCATTAAACTTGAAACAAAATATAATTTGAAACTTATTTTCAGCATTGGTCTCGCTGCGAGAGATTTGGGACACAGTGAAAGAGAAACTAAAAGAGTTGCTGTACATCGTTTTCAACTACCTAAGGCGCTTGGACCCTGTGGATTATGCCCGGGCGTTTGATATCCTCATGGCATGCACGGCCAGTCGTCGTGAGCTGGTCTTCACGATCTTAGATTTCGTTGCCCACAAACTGGGAAGGGAAGTATTCTCAAGTATCACTGTAGCATAGAAATGGTAAACAAAATAGTTTAGTAGCATCTTTGACAATATCACTGAGTGATAATAACAGATTTGTTTTAGAATGTGTTTTGTTACGTAGGTAGGGTAGGATTGGTGTACCTATTTTTTTCTTTTAAATCTTAATTCGTAGTCAATGTGTATATTTTTTTTAAGTTTTTTTACAATTAGGAGTTTTAGTAGAGTTGCACACATTTTGTCATTAATAAATTGTGGAGTTTTATTTTTGATAATAGTATTAAATGTACTACAAAATAATATGAATCTGATGTTGTGGAGTCTATCGATTAGTTGATATAATTTATTCACATGTACCTAATAATAAAAAGCTGGTTGTGAGATTATGTAACCGTCCCAGAAATAATTAAATTTTAAATGTGTACATCTGTTCCTTAGACAGAGTCAACATATCAAAATTCATCATAATATTATTATTTTTAAATTTGGAATGACTGTATTGTATTATACCAAAAATTAAATTATTTATTTAATGACTGATGAATTAGTGTTGTCGCCGCTCAATTTTAGCCATAGTTATATTTTAAGAAATTGGCCTTAATAGAATATAATATAGTATTTCTGAATAATGCTTTATTTTTATTTTTGTGTAATCTCCTAAAATGCTATAGGTAAGCGTATCAACCACGAAGGCGCGCCCCAGCATTCTTCCGCTAATGTTCGAGTGTTATCGGTACACGCTAAATTATCCATAAGTGGACACACACACTACAATAATGCCGCTCGGATTGCTCGGATCAAACTCCTCGCACCCCGCGCTTCCCTCAACCAAAAATTGGTGGAGCGCGACTACGTGGATGAAACGATCTATACTAAAGCCTGAGCCCCGATTACGGTAATTTTTAACGTCAACAATCCAGACACGCTTCTCGATTCTGCGATACGATTGGTCAAAACAGCTGACGTAGGCTGTTGAACGACCAATCGTATCGCAGAATCGAGAAGCGTGTCTGGATTGTTGACGTTAAAAGTTACCGTGAGCAATGACCCCAAGCTACCCATCCCATAGAGTTATAATAACTCTATGTACCCAATCCATCCCTATCGCTCGCGCGTAATTATGTTGCTGTCGCGACTGTGCGACGGGCGGCCGCAGTGAGTGTGCGAGCGATAGGGATGGGTAGCTTGGGGTCATTGGACGGGATACTACGTGCTCACGGACCACACTGGTTCAAGAAACGATAAAAATGGAATTAGCGATTTATTCACTTTTTTCGATGGAATCATGTGTAGGATGTTATAAAAAACGTTTTGTTTAAGTTCTATTTTTCTGAGAAATGCGTAGTTTTTGCTATATTACATGTTTTGTGTTTTATTTGTATGAAACGTTTTCTTCACGAGGCTCTTATTCAAAATGTTAAAAGGGTTATGCCCACTTAGTATGGGACCTTTGGCCTGAGGTGGACAGACATTACAGCATGTAATTTGTTATTTATTAAGTAGTCTATACCAGTAAGAAACAGAATATAAATATCATTTTGTATCCAAGTCCTTAAAAAAATTTTTTTTTGCTTAAGCCTAGAAAGGTTAGAAGCAAAACAAAACACCATTTTTTATTATTATTATTATTTTAATCTGACTCATGGGTCAACAAAATATTGTCTAGGAACTAGGCAGGTGGAAATACATGTTCCTGATACCTTGCACAGCTTAAAAACCACAAAATTGACATAACATGAGCACAGCAACCTACTGTTATTCGGCCAATATAAGGGCAAATGAATCCTCGTCCCATCATGTGTTTGTTGGGGCTCCACAGCATGTGTAGCAGCTCGATCAGCTCACTGCCATCAGGGATGACATATTTGGTCAAAACCCCAGCAGCTGAAACAAAGAAATTAATTATGGTATCATTCAAATTCATTCTTTAAGATATTGTTGAGATNAGTTTCATTTAGTTATTTAAATATTTTGGTAGTGTTATTGGAATATTAAAAAGGTTTTATAAATGTCATTTTAATGAATACGTATTTAAAAAAAATACTACTTGTCATAGTCGAAAAACAATCGATATGAATCGATTCTTACCGATAAGATTCATTTTGGCAACACTGAATTGAGTGTTAAAGACAGGAAGTTGTAATTATCACATAAAGTACTATTTATATTGGATTTTTATAAAGGCAAATTGATACGAAGTTACACTAAGTGAATACTTTAAAAATTAATTAAAAATTTTTGGCAAATTCATATTTTCATTAGCAGCTTGTCCACGCCAGGCCAGAAATGAACATTGTCCTTTGTTAAAGATGACTGCTTATAGGTTTTAAAGAGTTATACTAATAGAAGATAATACAGTAACAACTTTTTTCCACTTTCAAAAGTAACTAGAAGTTTTATCGTTTCTTGAACCAATGTGCGGACCAGGCTTTACAATGAAAAATTTTCCTGTGCTGGGCACACTAGTTTGGTGTTTGTAATTCCATAATAGGAATTATCAAGAAGAGTTAAACTTTAAATTGCTGTGTAAGTATGTGGGAACTTTTATAAACAGGAATAGGAAAATAATAGCCCGAATAAAAAATCCAACTCTTATTTATTAGTGCGTAACACATAAAGGAACGATTTGCGAACTATCACATCTATTTGGGAATTCTAAGGACATCACATTTCCATAGACTATGTTAGACTTATTCTAAGAGCTGACAGAATAAATTATTATTCAATAAATAAATAAATAAATTAACATTAAGTAAGATCATACAATTAGGACCAAAAACCTAAGGCCCGTCTTCCATCAAGGCGAAGCAGAGCGGAGAAGTGTTTAGAATAACCAATCAGATTTCGTTATTTTCCCTTCTCGTCTCGTCTCTGCTGTGAAATTGTATAGAAAAATTTGACGGTGACACTTCTCTTCTCCGCTCCGCTAAGGAACCGGCCCTAGAGCACACATTCAGTGAATAATCGAGCTTTATGATTACCTAATTTACAATTATTTCCCCTTTTTTACACCAAATAAATATCTGACGGAAATAAAATAACCAGATGACTGGTTCAACCCCAGTTTATTTACCATCATGTAGGTACACTCAGCGTCAAATAGTTTGTGGCATCCAAAGTAGCTAATAAGTTGGCAACACTTTGTTACAATTGAAATATGGTTGTGTTGGCCACTTTGGGTGTCAAGAATCATTTGATGCTGACTGTACTAGATGTGGCTTTGGTATCGACAGAAAATAATGTTATAACTCCGAATACAATAACTAAAGTATTATTTAACAAAACCTCTTAGATTCTTAACACCACACAACATACTATCTAGTAAAAATATAATAAATAAAAACATTTATACTTAAGTACGATGTCATAAGTTTCATTAACTTATTCTATTACTAAAACAAATGCTTATCGTAAACATACTTTTTAAAAGCTGTGAATCTAATAATGCAAGGTTTAGAGTGCTTCAATGAACACATTGTGTATATTTTAGGCATGACTTTTCAAGTTAATTTATTTAATTAAAACTGTTCTACTTACGTTCACCAGTTGACCAATACAACTGGTGAGCGCAAATAAGACAACTCTCAAGTTTATTAAAATTAAATACTACCTTACTTTGTACTGCAGTAAAGTTTCCAGCATGACAGTTATTTGTCGAGGCGCTTTATTTTTTCTTATTTAATACCTTATTAAGTATAGGATTTATTTTAGTCATATTCTAATAAATAGGAATGTCATTTTACATGTGCATCATTTTCAACATACAATGTCTTCTATAACTCTATTTTAAACTCACACACGCTATGTGGAATACATAAAAGTACTAGCGCATCCATGTTGTGACATAACGAAAATAAGTATGTCAGTCAAAATAAACACAAAGAAGATTAAAATATTATTTTGACTGTGAATTGTGTCTAATTATACAATTAAAATAGAATCAACATAAATATTACTCTAGTAGTTAAAATAAATAAATACTATGTGCCTATATGGATGTCCAAAATGCAGCTAAGTGTCATGAAATAAAATTGAGATTACTTCTAACAAGGAATCTTAGGTATTTTCTTACAGCTAAAACATTAGGTTGCCCTCTTATTCATAAAATTAAACAGTTATGACGTAAGCTAATATTAAATAGTTTTATCTATTGAGATTTTTTTCGAAGTAGTATATATATGTATTTCAGAGATGATTTCATTTGAAAAAATATTTCATTTTGTTAGAGGTAAAATATTTTTTTAGTAAAAAAAAACTGCTGTTGTTGTGAATAAATAGTCTTAAAGCACTAAAGTTTAAAACAATAAATAACTTAGTACTAAATAAATTAAATTAAAACCGTTAATTTTCAAGATCTATTTTCAATTTTGTATATTTTCTAAGGCTTTTTGATATTATTATCAATAAATGAGTTAGCAACGATATTTCAAATGCAAAAGCATTATAGGAATTGAAACTCCAAACAAACTCATCAAATGCGTTTCAACAAAAGGAGCACTGGTTACGTATGAACGAATCGATATAATTTTGTGACAATAAGTCTTTAAAACACTACTCTAGTGTATGTTCTATCCATTTCCTATTATGAAATAAATAATTGTATTAAATAACTATTCCTAAATGTCGTCATAATATTGCAAAAGCAAAGGCTCGCTAAGCATAGTTTTCAACGTATTAGCTAATTAAGATTAAAAACTCTCAAAATAGATAATAAAAAACCGGCCAAGTGCGAGTCGGGCTCGCGCACAAAGGGTTCCGTAGCAGCAAATATAATAAACTTATTATGTCAATTTAATCAACCTATCTCAAAAACTATAAGAGATACTTTGATCAAACCAAAAATCGTTGAAAGAGTTAATTAGCATGCATCACCTCTATTTTTTTTAGAATTTTATACCCCGTAGTTATAAAAATAGAGGGGGGGGGACATACTTTTTACGACTTTGAGAGCTGATATCTCAAAAACCGTTCACTTTAAGAAAAATGTTTTTTAGAAAACTTTATATCATTTTAAAAGACCTTTCCATTGATACCCCACACGGGTATGTACATCGAAAAAAAATTTTCATCCCTCAGTTACATGTATGGGGGGCCCCACCCCCAATTCTTTTTTTTACTATTTAGTGTCATAATTTTGTAGCGGTTCATACAACACATATTCCCATCAAATTTCATCACTGTAGTACTTATAGTTTCCGAGTAAATCGGCTGTGACAGACGGACAGACGGACAGACGGACAGACGGACAGACGGACAGACGGACAGACGGACATGACGAAACTATAAGGGTTCCGTTTTTGCCATTTTGGCTACGGAACCCTAATAAAAAGCACAACACAAATTATCGTAAAGTAAGGGACAAATAAAAGCAAATGTAAAGTCCCATCACAGCTTACGTGTCTAATGGTAAAATTACAATAACCCTAAATCACGAAGTGGGCATGACTTACATTACTGTGTCTGGTTTGAAATGGTCGCGTCATATGTGGTCTCTCAACGGAATCTACGGCAGAAACTTAGATGCAACTCAAAAGTAACTAGAAGTTGCAGTTTCGTTGCAATTGCGTTTCACCGTGTGTTCTGGGCCTTAGTATGTAGTACTGTTGCATATCGATGGTAAAGGCAAAAATATAGTATTTATAGCACTATCGACATCCTGAATTTATCGATGTGCCCGCAACACTAGCGTGTAGATAATGCAAGCACGAGTCCACAGATAAGTCACTGTCAGAAGACCCCAGGGACTTACAAAAAAACAAAAAAAAAATATGGCCCTCTCAGGGTAAACTGACCTAAACTAAATATAATGGCGCAAGTACACTATGCGGTAAAATTGTCTAAATCGAAGCGCTAGCCCTCACACTGAAGTACGGGTGAGGGAAAGATAAATTTACCGAGAAGGTGTTCACACTATTACGTCTTGGTCAATTTTCCGCAGTGTACTTGCGCCATAAAAATGTAGAATTGTAGATAGTGCACGTGCCCATAGGACTTTGGTACCGCGTTAAACTGGAAAATAGAAAATGACCTTGCCAGTTCAAGCCGGGTTGACACGATAAGAGTCAGTTCGGACCGAGTGGACTCGGATTACTACTCGGACGCTACTCGTATCGTGTAAACATGTAATCCGAGCGCACTCGTACGAACGTACTATGACAGAGCGGACTAGGACGGTGCTCTATTTTTTCTATCACTCGGATCTGAGCTCGGACATTTTTAATTAAAAATAATGGCGGCGTCAAGGAAAAAGTGGTCGGAACGTGATACTGTCAGGTTCGTGGAACTGTATGAAGAAGAAGAAGTGCTGTGGAACGTGAGACTTAAAGAGTATAAAATCAAAGATGCCCGAAATGCCGCTATTGAGCGCATTATATTGTTCAATTCTTTTATTAGTATATCTGCAACAACTGTGATACCTTGCAACAGCAGATCAGTCTGTTCCATGTTGAGCAGATCAGTGTTTTCCGAGAGTTGACACAAAATTGGTGCAAAATTGAATGAGCTCTGATAAGAGTACACTATGAACGTGTAAACCACTATAGGAGTACACTCGTATGACGCTGACTCGTACGAGTGTACTCGGACGTGACTCGGTCCGAGCTGTCTCGTAACGTGTCAACCCGGCTTGAACTGGCAAGGTCATTTTCTATTTTCCAGTTTAACGCGGTACCAAAGTCCTATGGACACGTGCACTATCTACAATTCTACATTTTTATGGCGCAAGTACACTGCGGAAAATTGACCAAGACGTAATAGTGTGAACACCATCTCGGTAAATTTATCTTTCCCTCACCCGTACTTCAGTGTGAGGGCTAGCGCTTCGATTTGGACAATTTTCAGCATAGTGTACTTGTTGCGGTATCTTTCAAATAAAACGGATAACTCTCACAGTTAGTAGTTCTACTGCTGCTCGTCCTGCATGGCGGTTTTGAGCTCCATAGCTAACTTGTAGCCGAGCTCGGGCCGCCTGTCGCGACCTTCCACCATCGCTGCCACCTGTAAGTATAATGGTATCATTTTACAACTTTGAAGCACTATCTCAGGCGTTTGAGGCTGTTGATGATTGTAGAAAGTGTTCGAATTCTTTGATGATTGTAAAAGAAAGTGTTCAAATTTTAAAGTAGGCCCTTTACAGAACACCTATATTAAGTTACGTCTCATAGATTTTAAAATTATCACAATGAGGGTTTTCGCGATTGAAAAATTGCGGTTATTTTTGACATGACATTGACAGATATGTCAAAATCCACCAATCATGCAGCATTTGGACCTCCCGTCTACGTATTGCCACCTGGCGGATTTTTCAATCGCGAAAACCCTCATTAAACACAAAAATACTGCGGGGCAACGGGGCGGGGTGTCCCATATCATCCCATATGCAACATCTGGCACGCGGCGATGATCGATGTAAACGGTTAAACGTCCACCTTATGTTCTCCAGGATCTTGCGTTGCATACAGCTTGACTTGAATAACGCAGCAGTGCAGGACCGGTTGTTGTGAAAACCCTTGGGAAGGCCTTTGTCCAGCAGTGGACTGCTGATTGAGTGATTGGCTGAAACAAACGAACCATAACGCCCTATACAGGGTGGAAGCGTTAAGTGATCTCACTCGATTATTTCTAAACTATACAAGATATTGAAAAACTGGTTACTGATCCTGAAAGTGCTTCATGAACTCTTTCAACCGGTACCAATAATAGGTTACAGAATAAACTGGATCTATCTGAAAATTCGATGTTTCCAGCTTCCATACTAAATGTTTGCCAGCCACACAATATTAGAAGTGTAATTATTTTTATTTAATAATAAACTCGTAAAATAAACTCGTAAATTGTATTCTTATTTAAAATTATTCATGGAAAATATTGGTTTTAGGCTTTACTTGCTATAATATTTGTCAAGAGATGAGTGTCATGACTGTGGTAGTACTAAATGTATGGAAGAAAGAAACATTGATTTTTTGGATAGATCAAGTTTATTCTGTAACCTATTATTGATACCATTGGACAGAGCTTGTGAAGCACTTTTAGAATCAGTAATAAGTTGTACGATATCATGTGTAGTTTAAAAAATAATGTGACATTAACAAATGTATGGAAGCTGGAAACATTTAATTTTCAGATAGATCAAGTTTATTCTGTAACCTATTATTGATACCGATTGATAGAGCTTGTGAAGCACTTTTAGAATCAGTAACTAGTTTATTGATATCTTGTATAGTTTAGAAATAATCGTGTGAGATCACTTATCGTTTCCACCCTGTAGATGTGCTCTCACCTCGTCGGTGGTGACGATGACGCCGTTGTGGTTGACGATGGTGGCCTTGGTCTGCTCGATGTCGGCGAGGTCGACGCCGCGGCTGGCGTCGTCCACCAGCACCGCGCGGTAGCCGATGGCCAGCGCGTCCGCTATCGTCGCTCCTGTGGAGCCAAGAGGAATTGGTTACCAGATGGCGCCACCAACTAATTGGTCACCGCTCATATTGTGGGACTATTTGTACTGGCACTTACCAATTGGTGCCTTTAGCTAGTAAGGTCCACTCGTTAATACCGCTAATTATTGAACGTTTTAACTATGCATATTGGTTATACTGTAAACTACACTCAACATTAAATAAACCGCACCTTCCGCGACGCGAACTTTAAAGATTTTCTTCTGACACAATCATGGTACCCCAACAATATTGGTGTTATTTGAAAGCCCAATAAATATCCTTAAAGAAAAATACATTTCATTTCTAAATAAATGATTAACATATACCATCAATGTGACTTGAAAAAAGACCTCATTTTGGGCTCACCTCTGGGATCAATTAGACCAATTTTCATGGTTATAAAACCAAATAATGATCTCACATGTCCTCTTTAATAGATGGATAGCTATTATAGCCATAAAAGTTGACTCAAGCGTAACTACCTATTTTTTGAAGAAGTGACTCTGGATCCTTCTAAAGACACATTTTTGGGGTAAAAACCTTTCCTTTAATGAAATGAAGTTTAGAACTAGGCTTTTAAATGGTAATATAGTATAGTAATATTGGTGGGAAGTGGGGATGCATACGTTTGAAAGTGCTTGTCGCGGGTGGGTCGATTTTTATGATGACCAGTGTATTTAACTGTCGCTTGGGGGCGTGTCAGACCACTTAAGGTAACTGTAAAGTAACGTAAGATAAAGTAAAGGGGCGTGTCTGTCCCGGCCCCGCCCACTCACCCACACAGACGTCGTAGGCCAGGCCGCAGATGTAGATATCGGTGGCTCCTCGGAGCCGCAGCTGCGAGATGAGGCTGGTGTCTGTCAGCTTCTTGTTGTCCCAGAAGACCGAGTAAGAATCAACTTCTGGATTCGTGCCTTTGTACACCTTCACCGCGCCTTCCACTATCTGGAAATGGTTAATAGTAGGTTAGTATAATTAAATTAATTAACCTTTAAATATAAAACGTGAAAAGGGCATGCCAGGGGTGCCAGTCTTCTGCAAACGTAATACAGTATACATAGGTAGGTAGCTAGTATATTACACGTCTACTAACCCTGTTCTAGAGGCACAATGAATTTAAAGTAGGTATGTAGCACCCATCTATTCCCACTGTATAACCATTGATACCTCTTTGATGGTTTCAATAACCATCACCATCATGATCATCAGCTCATCTACTGCAAGCGGATGACCCTCTCTAAGAGGCAAATGGAGAAGCCTCACGCTGGCCAGAAGGGCTGGAGAGGCATGTGCGCAATTCGCATGTTCTCACTTCGTCACCTCTTACCACATCCATCTTTACATATTCTTCCTACTTCAGTCCTTTCCTCTTACCTCTCGCTAACTTTTATAATGTATAACTGCCTCGTTTCCCGCCATTTCCACCAGGAATATAATGAGTGTAGCTAGGAGAATTAAGTGATTCTATTTGTTGATTTTGTCCTCCCCTAAAGCTTGGCTAAAAAACCAAGCTTAGCTGGAAAAGCAGCCTAACCTTTTTTACGTATTGCAGAACACAGTAATTTAAAAAAATACCTAACTTCTAACCTAAGTTTGTCTTTAAAGGTTGACAAAGTAGTGAAGCCAAGGCCACGAGCTTATTACCGACTCATCAAGATTTGATAACGTCTGCAAATTACACGTTGGGACGTCATAAATCCAAGCTCTGGGTTACCGGCGATGTCATATTGCCGTAATAGGTACAGTCAGCGTCGAATAATTCGTGACACCAGAAGCAGCCAAAAAATTCGCAACGCGTCTTTGTTACAATTGGAATAAGGTTGTGTTGTAAAATTATAGATTTGATCGACATTGTGGTATTAAAGTTATGCTATAAATGGGTATTAAACCAGTCTGTTTATATTTTGAAAGATAATAGATTTTAAACAGCGATATCCAGGTTTACATAAAATACTCACACCGAATAAAATAAGTATGTCTATGCACTCAAAAGTTCGCATTATGTGAGGACCGAAGCGACATCTGGCGTAAAAAGGCCTTCGCTTCATCGGGAGGGTTCCAGCAAGGACTAGTGTTTGCTTAATAAAGGGGTCTTGAGGCACGCGGTGTCGCGGCTACAGCCTCTGCTTTATCGACAGTTAGAAACAAACAAGGGTTCGCTGGCCCCAGGCCGTATCTAGCTAGGGGGTCTAATAGTATCATGGTGCGAGGGGTCCAACCTTGAGATCCTTATGCAGCCTAGGGCCCCAAGTATCCTGCACGCAGTGTCACACTCTTTGCTTAATTGCTGGGGGTTCAGCAAACTCTTAGTGTTTGTTTCTAACAGGCTTTATCTAGCTAGGGGGTCAGTAGTAACTTAGTAACTAATAGACTCAGCGTGGGATGTCCACCCACAAGGTGGACCGACGACATCATAAAGGTAGCAGGAAGGCGCTGGACGCAGGCCGCTACCAACCGGGCAACATGGAAAGCATTGGGGGAGGCCTATGTTCAGCAGTGGACGTCCTCTGGCTGAGATGATGATGATGATGAACTAATAGTGTCATGATGCGAGGAGTCCAAAAACTCTTAGTGTTTGTCCTAAGTATATCCTATCCACGGTGTCACCATATCCTATCCTTCTTCTTTTTTGATGATGTTGGCAATACACGTCGAGGTCGACTTGATTTGTGCCATTTTCAAGTATTTATGTGATACGAGTTACAAAATGAGATCAAGTAATGATATAATGAAGGATGATAGATGATACCCCTTCCCACCCTTTGAGTCTCAGTAAAGTTGTGGTGCTTTACTGAGACCTCCTATGGACAACTTGAGAGAACCAGAAGAATCACGGTGCACTGTTTTGCTTCACTTGCCCACACTCATGCACGTTCACGAACACTTAATGGTTAATAATCCACCATTATTACACACTAGCGGCCGCCCGCGACTTCGTACGCGTGGACCCCGTTTTACCCTTAGGGGTGAAGTTTCGAGTTTTTTAGGGTTTACTCGGAAATTATTCAAACTTTTCTCGCTGTAAAAACCATCCTTGGACTTCAACAAACATTTAAAAAAAAGAATTGGTAAAATTGGTCCAGGCGTTGTTGAGTTATGCGCTTACCAACACATTTTGCGATTCATTTTTATATTATAGATTAATAGTCGCCCAAACACGAATTTGAGGAAATAAAACAAAACCGCTAACATGACGCTTCAGATTCCCGCCAAGAAGTCCATCCTTTCCATCATCGGCGGGGGTCAAGCGAGCTATTGCTAGTTTCTGAAATCTGGTAATCTAATAGTGTAATGATCTGAGGGGTCTCACCTTGAGATCCTTATGCAGCTCGGCTCCCCACGTGTCCTGCACACAGTGTCGGGGCCACAGCCTCTGCTTCATCGGCGGGGGCCCCGCAAACACCACTGTGTCGTACGCCTGTGCTTTGTCTGCTGACACCTGAAGAATAACAGATTATCTTGATTTCACACGACAGTTTAACTTTACTTCACAAACTTGACCTTCACTGGTTGGGTTTTTTATTGGTCGCGACACTAAACTGATAAAACGGGAATTCCACCTCTCGTTCCCACCGCTGCAACTCCTGTGTAGCCAGGATCTACAGCTCGACCGCCAATAAAAACCCAACTAGTGAAGGTCAAGTTTGTCCCGGGGAAAGTTAAACTGTCATTGGACCCACAACGAAATTAATCAGAAGAACATAGGAGGAGTTCAAAGTTGAGGAAGTAAACTGGTAAGTAGACGGTCTTTTCCAATCAAATTGATGTAAATATTTATTGGAATTTGGTTGAAAAAGAGGCTGACAAAGGTGACTGAGTTTCTTCCGCCACTTCTTCTCAGCACCAGCCCATATGTTGTCCCGAAGAGGTGGTAGGGCAAGCTATTTGGGGCGTATTTAAGCGCCCTGGTAAGGGTCTAATTACTGAATGAAGGATTTGTATTTGCTAGTTGCTACTGTATATAACATAACCATAATTCCCAATTTAGTTTGAAAGCTTCATTCAACTTTGTGATTGTAGAATAACAGAAAGACTTTCTTATTTTGGAGAATACCATGCCTATTACGGGTTACCTGGTGCTAAGTTCGTAACAGCCTAAATGATAGAGGGTGAAATGCGGAAATTTAGAGGGGTCGTTGAACTTCGTCATTCATGGTCAATATCCCAAATGAAATCTGCTGTAATTGAAATGAAAAGAACAGTCATCATCAGCTATTTTCGTTCTAAAGCTGTAAAAGGACATCGTCAGCATGAGCCCCGCAGCGATGGGTCGTAAACCTTTTTTCTGACAATTTTAAAGTGAACTTGACCTTGTGGTGGCGTCATGACGCGGCGTCACGCGATGACGACTACCGCGCCTTGGACGAGTGTCTTGGGAGACTCCACGAGACTGGCTCAAGTGAGACATTGAAATAAAATGTCTTCATTCAATTTTTATTTTTGACTAAAAGGAGACCAGATATGTGTCATACATTTTTGGACCATTTTGTCAGATGTCCTTTGGCACTTATGAATGACAAAGCAATATTAATACACAACCTTGGTTGGGTTTTTATATTGGCTGTAGATCCTGGTTACACAGGAGTTGCAGTGGTGGGAACGAGATAGAAGTGGGAGTAGTCCCGTAAACCTTTAGACTTTCTAAATGAGCAGAAACGAGGTCCAGCTGATCGCATAAAAACGTCACACCAAAGTTTAGTGGTGCGTGAGCGCACGCACTTTTAAGGTGCGCTTTACTTCTTAGCTTATTTCAAATTATAACTGCGCACCTGGCATCCGTGACGTCATGTCGATGCTCTGGTTCGGACGAACGCGGGGAGGTGTGCGGGTGAGTGCGAGGGAGAGTCGCATTCCGAGGTGCGCAGTTAGCTCGATGAGGTTGTAGATAGAAATTGGGATCTCTTTGGTTTTGAAGAACGTTATTTATTTATTTATTATTACATTCTTTAGCCGTTACATCTTTGATTTAAATAGTGTCTTAAATCCTCTTCTCTCTATTGCTCTGGTGGAACATAGTTTGATATTTTAGTTGAGTCAACTGGGTTTTTCGAAAATAAATAATATAAATCGTTTCCAATAGAGCTATGTTTAACGTCTCACAAAGATCTTAAAGACCTTATCTGTTACAAAATGTTCAGTAGGTCTAAGATGCGCGCCGTGATAAGCGGTTATCACGCCATTTTATCGATTTTGTCCATACATTTTAACGTCGATAAAAGTTATCACGGCGCGCATCTTAGGCCTACAGGTATAAATAATCATGAATGAGTATCCTAAAAAATAGTCGCGTATGGTCACATCAACAAATTCGCGTGATAGACAGCGTTTATCGGGTATCGATGTGTAGCTATTTTAAAACATACGCAAGATCGGGCCTTTGTCCCATAAAACTAATCGATTCATTCGCGAAGGGGTGAAGTGATATCGATTTAACATTCACTTTTATTGGCCGAATAAAATATTTCGGATCATTATGAGTTACTGTGGAGGTTATGTCAAGAGGTGGATCACGTTTGTATTATGTTCAGGGGCTTTTCTGATGAATTTCTTTAAACAGCAGACTAAATAGCATCTAGTAGAACAACTTAAAATTTGCTGTTAAATGCAGATACACTGCATTAGAATTGAGTCTGCGTGGGCATTGTTCTTCTATTGAGGGCCTGTGAGTATTTATTCTATAGCACAAGTTATAATTCTAGTGTCAAACATTATGAGACTTACCCAAATAGGAGTGGCACTGGTAAGAGGCCGATATGAACGCCAAAGATTTTAATTTGTATCTTTTATGAATTGGGAATGCCGTGTGGTGACGGCAGAGTAGAATACATTTGTCACCAACCCCTACTCTTCCCACGGGTGTCGTAAGAGGCGACTTAGGGACTACACATCAAACAGAGAACGGGCAGCAGCGCTCTCTGACAAACATCAATCTTTTAAACTGCGATCTCCAACCCGCCTGCCAAGCGTGGGGATTATGGCAAAACCCTCCACTATAGTAGAGGAGGCTGATAGTCCAGCAGTGGACTGTAAAGGGCTGTTGATGATTATGAATTGGGAATAGCAACAAAGTTATTGAAAACTGAACCAGGTACCTATACTTAGTTTACTGGTACTTGGAAAGAATCAGTAGCGTCGAGACAGTACTTTATTTAATCGGTAGTTGCATTATCAATGCAATAATTGAAATGCAAGATAACAACTTTCGAGTGTCGTTTGTTTACAATAGGTAACCCATGGTATAATTGCTGCTTTTGTAAATAATTACTTACCAGATATTTTCTGAAAAACCTGTGTTACAGGTCACCAGATGTTTTCTGAATGAGCCTGTGTTACATATCACCAGATGTTTTCTTATAGAACCTGTGTTACAGGTCACCAGGTGTTTTCTGAATGAGCCTGTGTTACATGTAGCCAGATGTTTTCTTATAGATTCTATAATATAGAACCTGTGTTACAGGTCACGAGAGCTTCAACTTACCGGGCTGGACGGGTGAAGCTCCCGCATATGCACGTTGTCTATGAAGGAGACGTGGTCGGGCGGGTGCCAGTCCAGCGAGTAGAACACGCAGTCAAACGACACCGTCTCCAGCAGCCGGTTGATCGGCTCCACCACCTGGAGAACAGACAAGTTATAGAAACTGCCTGGGGTGATTCTAAAGTCCGGTCGCCGAGCAGATAGAATTTCGTCCAATGACTCCAAGCTACCCATCCTTATCACTCGCACGTAATTATATGACCAATCTGGAAATCATTGGGGAAGCAGCAGTGGATGTTCTGTGGCTGAAACGATGCCTATTTCGGATCTATTTAAAATAATTTAGTAAGCTTTTTATAAAGGCTGACAATAGTGGCTGTATTTTTAGCGCTACTTATTTTCAGGATTTAATTTGATTAAAGAAAAACCTAGGTAATTGTGTTTCAAAGAACGAATAATTGATTTCTGGCGGGTGCACCTTCAAACTTTTCCATTTTCCAAGGATTTTCGTTACTGCTATGTTTATGCAAACAAAATTATTGCTTTATTAACTACTTCGGAATACTTTTGTAAAGATCAAGAAAAAATATGACGGCAATATCCACAAGGGATCCAAACTTTCAGCATAATGGCCAACTTATTGAATTGGAGTGTCGCTGCGTGCGGGAGGGCCTTAAATCCATTGATGGTAGGGTGACCATCTAGAAAAGGAATGTCTGGACCAGATAAAACTTTGGGGCATTCATTAAAAAAAAGTTAAACCCGGGACGTCCACTGGTTTAAAATGACATTTCCACACTAAGTGTCAATATAGAGCAGTTCACCCAGAGTCTAACTTTTTGTTATAAGGGGGTGGGTGGAAGTTTCAGAACAGTCCACCAAAGTCAGAAAGTTGATAACCTATTAAGTACTTATGTTCCAATATTTCCAAGTTATGTGTTCGAACTTTTAAGTAAGTCCTTAGATAAAGGAGAGGACTGTGTGTATGTTGGTAACGAATGTAAAATTTGAAAAAATAATTTATTGTTTAAAAGCTGTTTTCGCTAGTTTCGCTAATTTTTTTTTTTCAAATGCTAATTAATTTTAACATGATTAAAAGACACAAATAACTTTTAGTTTTAACAAAACATTTTTTTTTTTACTAAAAGTGACGCACCTCAGAAGGCTATAAGTCCAGACAAGTCCGGGCAAATACCGACTGATGGCAACCCCAGCTGAACTGAACCGATTCTCCAGGACAATGGGCCAATAAATTAGCTTTAACAGCGACGGGTACCTATTGAACGGTAATCCATTCGGAGGGTACTTCCGCGCTCTTTGTTGCTATAATTTGCTATGACATTTGTTAGGGCATGACCTACCTACAACAATAGTCTGTGCTTTTATTATACGTAGAACTTTGTATTGAATTAATCAACCTTTTACGGCTAGGCCTCCAGGCTTAATTAGATTTGTGGTTAAAAACATTTTTTACAAAGCTACTAATCTAGAAAATTATAGCAACTAGTGCCTACCTGGTACACTGAATAAAATTACAACATGTGTACAGTTTCTTTTATAATTTACCATATATGCCCGTTTTCACCATCAATCCCTAATTTTTAAGTGACCCCTAAGGTAACACATAACAGGAATTTTGTTTTTAAATGGGTCACTTAAGAAATAGGGATTGATGGTGAAAAAGGGCATTAGACTATTAAATAATTACAATATTGAATGGAAATCCTTGGGGGAGGCCTTTGGGCTTTGTCCAACAGTGGATGTCATTTGGCTGAAACGACGAACGAAAAATATTCCTAATAAATATCATCTGAATTTCATTTAAAGTGTACCTTTTCTAATTAGCGATAAAAAATAATTTTGAAAGGGACAAAGAAAGTATGCATTTAAAAAAATATGCGAAACATTTTTGTTTTCATCCCAAAATGAATCCAGACGAATGGAAACCCTACATAAGTAACACAATCACGTAACTACAGTTGGATGTGCAACGATAGCGGGTTCGATTCCCATCGCGACCGCGAGACCTTGCAGCGGTGCCAGGTGTGATGGTAGTTTGTGAGATATCACGCCTTCGAAGACCGACGATTACAATGCACACGAAGGAGAAAGCTGTTAAAAGATAAGCTACTATGTGATATGTAATCCATGACTTTGCTTGCGTTGGTGTAGAAGTTTAAAACGAGTTGTCTTCCTTATTCAAGACTGGAGAAATAAAAACTTATAAAAAGATAGAAGCTGCTACAGCTTTTAATAAAATTTTAGTAACGGGTTACTTAGTTACTAGTCACACGTGGGGTGCCGGATTCAATTTGTGGTAGAGCAAACTTTTTTAAACGGAACCAATTTTCATGGAAATTCGTCTAGTAATTCATAGGACCTAGGATAGGAACACAGGCCATCTTTTGACGTAAAAATAGCCGTAAAGTGTTCTAAGTAGAGTATTTCTTATCTAAATTTTTGAATAAATTCTTCAGGCAAGAGATTTTGAGCACGTTAAGAAGGGTACTAGGTATACTTTATACAGACCTACATTTCTGCCGCTAGATTATAATTTAAAATATTAGTATGGATTCAGTCCAAGCTATAAACCAAATAGAACTTGCATTTGCAATATAAGTTGCATGTCAAGGTTACTGGAAGTTAACACGCTGACAGCCGTCAGATGTCTTCATTGCAAGCGCGGGTGCCGTGGCTGGCGCATCGCGATACGATCTGCATTGCATTTGCACTGATATCTGCTATCAGGGTCACCATGCTTCCGAATTTATAAGTACATCCATCTTCTCAGCATTAAGAGCGTTTACGCGAAGCGCGGCGTTTCAATGGGCATCATTGGAAATGATTCACGCGCGGCGTTTTTTAATAGTTTTCAAATGTTTATAGCAAAACAATAACAATTAATTAAATATCGTTTCAAAGTAAATATTTTAAAGAAGATGTTGTTTTATTATATTAAGCTATTTTTATGTTGAATAAAGAAAGAATATTGGTGAAAAAATCACTTTGATTTTTGGATATTTCACGTTCTTTTAATTTGTGATTTCTTATTGTAAAATGCTTAAATCTAAAAATTTTCTCAGATAACTATTTGCCCAAGGATCTATGCTATAGGATATAAATGTTTTTTAAATCGTTTTCACAGTATTTTTATAAAAATTTCAGCTTGTAAACTGACGCTAAAGTGGAAATTTACAAAACCTGTGTGGACTTATCTTGATAGAATTCTTAAATACTAAACTAATCACAATATTTTCTCAATTAACTATTTAGACGACGAAATTGCTTAACTATTTATGCCTATATCATATTTGTAGTATTACTGGTTAATGATTGTAACGAGTTGAAAAAGTACTGTTTTTGCGCCAAACGGCGTAAACGCTCTTAAGCGGTACATAAACGTTGTTGTTTCGAAGGGTCAGGACAATCTATATTGGAAATTGGAACGTTGTAGAAGTAGACTGTGTATTCTACAAAATGTTCAAAAGAAATTCACTGTGAATTTGTTGTTGAGACGTGTTTTATGTGCACATGAAAATATCTAAGTAACCTAAAATTACATAATTTGTTTCAAAAGCAGTATGCTGAACTAATTTATCCATGTAAACCTACTTGTGAAGTTGAAATTAGGCCTAGAAAGACTATTACTAAAACTATAACCTTTTTAAAATTTCTAGTGGAATTAAAACCGCAAATCCAAAACTGAATGCACCCCGCACTCCAATCAAGTAATCCATCAGTTAACCCTTCGGCTGCCGTCATTTAAAGCTTACATAAACGAGTTCAACACATTTGAAATTTAAAGTGCCCAGCACCGGCGATCACTAGCGCCGTGCCTGGCACCGCCGAGGTGTTAACAAATTTCACCCAAAATGGATTTCGCTTATTTTTAGTGGGAATTTTGACAGCTAATCCAATTTCGCCTTCGGTGAAGGCTTTTAATCGGCACGCTCATCATTTTAGGGTTATTTTTGTTCGGTATTGGGGTAGTAGTTAATTCAGTGGTTTTTAATCAAAGTTTAAAAGCTCCTTTGCTATAAATGATGTTAGTTAAGTAAGATTTGTGGTTTAAATTGACGATGTTAAACTTGTTAAGGCTGTTCGTGTTTCAGTCTACCGTTTACGGCATGAAAACAGATTTAAATTCTATTTAAAAATCATAATTGTCAGGTTTGCCATAATAACTTATAACGGGGGAGTCATTTGTCCAGCAGTGGACGTCATTTGGCTAATGCCCTGTCTTTTATCATTGAAGATCTATAACGTAACCTTCAAAATCGGTAGGCGTTTTCACGAGTTACCCCAATGCAGCAATAGTTGGAGAAATCTAATTTATCTATTACATCGCGTGACGTGCGCCGGTATCAATCGCATTGCAGCAACCTGCAGCTGAGGGCTTAATCTAGCCCGAATTTACAAAAAAAAAAGCACATAAAAGTAAAAGTAATTTAGGCTTTAAAGGCTAGGTTTTTCTCCGTTTACAGTCCATACTAATAAAAAAGCTTTCATGCTTAAACCGCATCGCCAATTGCGGTTAATTTTATAGTAATGAGACCAAGAATAACACATAGGTCATAGAAGGCTTCTTTTTCCCGCAATAATCTTTAAACGGGGGAAAGTTTGAATGGGGTATCCATAATTTTTCAAGTCATTTATCATGCACTGCTGGACAGAGGCTTCCTATCTTTAGCTTAAGCTTATCTCATCCAGCTTCTGCGATCTATCGGTATTCGTCACGAAGGCCGCTTCCTGAGTCGTTCACTTAAGTCTCCCTCAAAATAAATAATTCGTTTTGGTAAGTTGTAAAGAGTGGAAATTACTGTTTTATGTAATAGATCAACACGTGCGAATCCGCGGTAAGAAACTAGTAAGATTATAAATGATAAAAAGCTATGACTTAATCCTTATGATTGGTAGGCGTTTTCGCGAATCGGGCCCGAATGCAGCAAAAGTTGGCGAAAGTTTTTATCTATTAGATCGCGTGACTAGCTGGGCGCCCGGCGTTGCGTGCCGTTATCAATCGCATTGCAGGCGTCCTGCAATTGAGAGCTTCATCTAGCCCAAATTCAGTTAGGGCTCGTTCTCTCGGTAATCTGTCGGTAGTCTGACTGTCGTGTGAATATGTGTGTTTGAATTCGAAAGGATCGTTTTTTCGCGAAACGGGATGTTTGTGGGAACGTTAACATTTAAACACGTATTCTACTAAACAGGATTCTGCAAAAAACGGGAGGTCTCCGTGGGAACAAGCCCTTGCACTGACAAAAATAATAGTATAATTTAAATTAGCAGTTGTAATACCTAGTAATGCTATCTGTATTGAACTAAGCTCTATCCGTGCCTTTTCAAGGCGAGAGTGAATAGGCACTTACAGGGCAGATATGTACCGTCCTAGACTGCATCCCACTAAACATCAGGTGCGATTGTGGTCAAATAACTGTCTTGTTAAAAGCATTAAAATCTTTTCATAATAAAAAAAAGCCTTGAAAAATGTTAAAGTGTTAAGAGCTGGCAGTTACATAATAATATGTACTTCTTCCTGATATTACTAAAAATTTACAGTTACACAAGTATTGTAAAAACGATAAAAACATTTATGGAAAACGTAAAATTATAGTATCAAAACAATTACTATTTAGTATCAAACCCAGACGATGTGAAATAAATCAGACCTATACTTAGAAATACTCAAATCGTTCAACGTAAAATATTATTTGACATAAAATACGCAGAATTTTATATCTACTCGTATTATGAGAATAGATTCGGGCTCGATAATAATCGACTGTGTTAACCTTTTCCGATGTAAACAGCAAATAAAGCAGTACAGTCAGATACAATCATGTCTGGCCATTTTTGAACATGTTATTGGAAAAAAATCATAAAAACAATACATGCCACGTACTATGTGCTGTATCCATGTAGGTACAAATTGTTTCTACTTGCGTTTCATTAAAGACGGTTAGCAAAATTAAGATTTTTGGTTGTAGTAGTGCGAAAAGTGTTCCTAATAATAATATTTGCAACAACACCTAGAAAGACTAAGAGAAAACCAATTTGGAAATGGGATAAGAAATCAAAATTTACGAGATAATGGGCCTGGATTTATATTATTTTATTGCTTCGTTATGCCAATAGATATTTTGTTGTTCGAGGCTCAATCGGTTCGGTAAGCCGCGTGGCGTCCAACGAGTTAATAATAATGTACTTTTTAACATGAATGTTTTGAAAGTTACTCTAACCCCTCGAGGAAAGCTAAATATGTTTGCTTAAATAGATTCACCGCAATAGTCTTGTATTAACGCACTTTAAGTGTGTGTGAAGTCTTGTCACACACACACAATGTGCTTAGTAAAAATTGTTACATAGGTTTCTGTTACCGACTATACCAAACAGAATGGCGTATAAAATTGTAGGTCGTATTGCCTCCACAGTGCGCACTGTCAGACTTTGTAATTTGATTCCCGACGACAATAGCAGCGGCCTTTGTTTACGGACACTAAACTTAGTATTGCATAGGCAGTCTAATGTTCGATTATGTGGCAAGTAATCATGGTTATACCTAATGTATATTAGACTACGCAGTCTAGATAAAATTAATCGTTTTTACCAGTTATTATGCGGTTTTATTGAGTTAATTAAATTGAGGAGGCAACTTCTAATATGGAATAGTACAATAGCAATGGTGTCAGCATAGAAATGCAAGGAACGTTAGTCGATCCCATCGCGGCGACCGCTGGACTGTCTAGTCCACCCACAGAGTGGCCACACAAACATAATATCTAGCTTACAGCTGACAAAGGGTTAACGGGGATACACATTTTTGAGCACTACCAGAAAACTTCTTTTTCAATAATTTGTATTACATAATATTCATAAAAACTCAGAATTTGTTAACAACATTAGGAGATTAGCAAATCAGTATCTTGGAAAATTGTGTTCAGTCTCTGAAAGTGCGGCTATAAAATTTAACAACTTCGTACATTATCACCATCGTTGTATACGTGAGCTCATACAAGTACATATCGCAATTACTACTCGTCTAGAAATAAAGGTAGCTACAAATCACTTGACGAATGTGAACATGAATCACTTAAGTGCAGTGTTCTTTTATGTTAGATAACAAGTGCATGGGGGATTACCAGTGTGATAGGATTATGTATTTGATTATTCAATTGATCGTAAGATAGTCTGTTTATAGCAGATTTTATGGACTAGGTATGTTTATTTTTAAAGCAAGTTTTTTTTATTTTTGTAGATGCCCTTTGAGCTCTATCAGATGCTCTCTGATGATCAGGGAATTTTCCTTCAATTTGCAGAAAATAAATGCATTCTTTTAAATCGCTGTCTTTAAACTTATAGACGAGCGAAAGATGGACAATTTCTGACAAAAAACTAGCACTCACTAACTGGGCCGACAAATGTACTGCCCAGTCATAAATTCGGATCAATTGCGGAAAATGAATTATCCAAGTTTTATACAGATCCCTAAGCTTTTCGAAAATATTCTAACGTAATGTTTTTGAGGGATAATATAGGATTTTAACGATGAAAGAATTTTCAAATCGGTCTAATACTTTCTGAGCCTATTCAATGCAAACAAACGATCGAATCTTTCCCCTAAAATTAGTGTAGATTAAACCACAAGATGCCAGTATTGAGCTGGATATGCTGCCTCGATAAGTGCCGTAATACGGTGAGTGGTTTGGTCGATAGCGCCGGGCGACCGCTGCGGGCGGTGAACTGCTGGTTGCGACGTCATTGATGCTCAATTGTTTGTTTAACCAGTAGGAACCCTCGCACAAATAATCCTTCAGCTACTACGGTGTGCCTAGTAATAAAAGTCCACTTTTGTTTAAATTAAATCAACCGCGGTGAAGAGGTTAAGGCATATTTCAGTTTAGATGGTGTTGCGACGTCATTGACGTCGTCAGTTGTTTATTTAACCACTGGGACCCCTCGTAAAAATAATGCTCCAGCTACTTCGTCATGCCTAGGAATAAAATCCCACTTTTTTAAATTAAAATTGACCGCGGTTAAGAGGTTAAGGCATATTTTCAGTTTAGATGGTGTTGCGACGTCATTGACGATTAAAATCGACCGCATTTATTGACATCATTTAGGTATACCAGGGTTAACAATCAGAGGAAAATACGACCAGTTTGGAGTTAATGCAGATTTCGATACACATATCCTTTTTGATTTCTTTCATTGCAAGCATGGTAATTTAAATCGATTTACAGTGTTAAAAACGATGGAGTGGACTGTAGGTATGTAGAGATAGGCCTGCCGGTGGTGATCATAATATGCAAGAAGCAAGGAAACACTCCAAAATAGGGCCAAAACAGTATATTGCTCAAGACATTTTACTAGAACACGAGAGCCAGAAAAAGCATCTAAAACTAAAACAATATTAAAAAAAAGTAAAAAACCATAAACAATTATCAAAAGAGGATTGCTGGTCAAACTGCCAGCAACATACAGTTTCTTTCTTTCTTTCAAAGCAGATGACAAATGACAGTGGTTCCGAGAGCTGTTCTGCTCAGTGCTCTCACTGTTGGGTGTGGAGCACTGAGCAGTGCTCGCCGTGTTATAAAGGAACATACCCGAAAAAGAACACTGCCTAGCTCGCATCAATACTTATGACTGTGCATATTATAAAGACTGTAAGTAAACACTTGAAATTAAAAGGAGGCTGACAATGGTGACTGAGTTTCTTGCGCTGCTTGCTTCTCAGCACTGGCCCATTATTGTCCCGAAGCAGTGGTAGGGTTTATACTGGGACGTGTAAAAGTGCCTTAAACCCTTGAAAAGGAGGCTGACAATAGTGACTGACACACTGAGTTTCGTGCGCTGCTTCTCAGCACTGGCCCATTATTGTCCCGAAGCAGTGGTAGGGTTTATACTGGGACGTGTAAAAGTGCCTTAAACCCTTGAAAAGGAGGCTGACAATAGTGACTGACACACTGAGTTTCGTGCGCTGCTTCTCAGCACTGGCCCATTTATTGTCCCGAAGCAGTGGTATGGTTAATACTGGGACGTGTAAAAGTGCCTATTTGCAAAAATAAATGCGTTTTATGAGTGTTTTATATCTGGCAACAGGCTCGACTGAACTGGATGCGTGTGGCCAGGGACAGAAGTCGGTGGAGGGTTGAAGAGGAGGCCTATGTTCGAAGGCGAACCCAAAGGCTGCTATAGATAGATTGATAGATGAGTGTTTTATGAGTTTTAACAGAACAAGTAAGCAGCACTGACCTCGCTGCCGTCCTGCTGCGCGTTGCACTTGCTGATGTTCAGCGTGCCCGAGATGAAGTCGTTCTGCACGTCCACGATCAGGAACGCGCTGACTGGACGGACTATCTGCAATGAAATATCGCTTGAAATCACCAGAATATACAACTATACAAGAGAGAGAGAGAGACTTATCGCTTAAAGCCGTGTTGGCAATTGCATAGTACACTACTTTAATACATCGTCATAAGAGGCTGACAAAGGAGAATTAATTTCTTCCGCCAATTCTTCTCAGCATCTGCCGATAAGCTGCGCCGGATTAATCCTTAAGCAAATACTTAGGGCATCACGTCTTGGGGGCACCAAAAAGAGCCCCAAAAATCTAGTACATAAAAAAAACTATTATCGGCGAATTCTAGACCTGTAAAAGTCGCACCCATACCTCTGTAATTGCGCTAGACTTGTGGAAAGGTGAGTCACGTTAGCGAAGCGCCACTCAAAAGATGTCCTCGTGGTCAAAAGATGGGTCTGCAACCGTGGACAAACTGGGCATAGGCGGAAATCGTGTCAAGGCCTCGCTACACCGGTACTTCCTCTATGCTCAGAGAGATGGACACACATAACTCGTAGCTATGACCACAGCGGCGGGTATATGCAGCTTTATGAATTTTTTCCACGTAAAAAAAGGGTCACTCACCACCTTGATCCAGTGGTTCCAGCAGAAGGCGAACTCGTCCTTATCCACGAAGCCGTCGCCATCGCGATCGAAGACCTGGAAGATGTGCCGCGCACGATCCTCGGGCAGCGGGTAGATGTGGCCCTTGTCATTGCGGAACAACGCCTTGCAGATCAGCCGAAACTCGTCGTAGTTTAGCTTGCCATCCCTAAAATAAACGTTCAAACACTTAATTTATAATGCCTAGTTGCCGGCACGACTGTCGCGCAAACGTTTTATTTCCCAAAACGTGAAAACGTAAATACATAAATGCTGAGGGTACACCGTAAGTATTTTTGTGGGTACGTTAAGTTTGAATAGGTAAGTACGATTTCGTAATTACTGTCACTAGCCAAAAGCGCAGTTTCACAAAATATCACCTAACTAAGGTACCCCAAAGAACCCGATACAAAGATAACACAAAAATATTCCCTCACTCCACGCGGCCAAAACTAGCAAACGAAATACCTGAGTTCGCATAATTTTAATCCCATAAATTACAACTACCCGCAGAACTCACAACTTTTCTATTAGAATGCATCATAGTTTAATTTAAACATGCGCACTATCCAAAAAGTCCATCAATCGTGCAGAACTACTTGTTCAGTCAACACCTCATAATTAATTACAGCTCCAGGATCCGCAGTCACGCGACGCTGTAAGCAATCGGTGTCTTTGCGAAATGGTTTGAGTTATATCACTATAATTATCATAAGGTGGATCTACACTAGCCGAGCCAAGCACGAGCGGAGCACAAGCCGAGTCAAAATTCGTGTAGTGTGGACTGACTTCATCATTTCAGCCATAGGACGTCCACTGCTGAACATAGGCCTCCCTAATGCTTTCCACGTTCACATCTCGCAAAGCCGAGTGATTGTTGTAGGCTCGTTGTAGGATTGGGTAAAAAATATCGATATATCAAAATATCGATATTTTTCAGAAAAATATCGATATAAATTAGCGATATTTTTTCCGGCGATATATCAATTTTCGATATTTATTTTCAGATATCAAAATCGATATATTTTAATATTTTTAAAGCTCTGCTGTCTTCTCATGCGTAACATCATTTATGTTTTTAACCAATCCGATTTCTTATATTTAGTAAATATGCAGTAAGCTGTATGGGTTTAGTTTCTTTGCTTCAAACACAAACAAAAATTACGCTCTATGACTTGCTTGTGATGTGAGACAGCTCCTGAGCCCCGATTACGGTAATTTTTAACGTCTCCAATCTTCGATTGGTCGTTCAACAGCGTACGTTAGCTGTTTTGACCAATCGTATCGCAGAATCGATGAAGTGCGTCTGGATTGGAAACGTTAAAAGTTACCGTAATCGGGGCTCTGATGTCAATATCAGACAAATACTGGTTTGAATAATGTTTTTTTGTCAATGTTTAATTGCTCATTCGAAAAAATAAACTGAAATATTACAACTTGAGTTGAAACAGCGACATGTGTTTTCTTTAAAATTTAGATAATTTTGGCCATTTTTATAAATAATTGCAAATTGGGCAAAAAATATCGATATATCGAAATATCGATATTTCTTGGGCGATATATATCGATATATTTGAAAAATATCGATACGATAAATATCGATATTTTTTTTCCGTTTGCATAGACCCACCTTTACCTTACGTGCACTGGTCCATTTATTGTTCCGAAGCAGTGGTAGGGTTGAAGTGATTTTGGGACGTGTAATAGCGCTTTTTAAAAGCCTACTTGCAGAAAATAAATTACTTTTGTGAATATTTCTTATGGTAACCCTGTGGAGGATGAGAATGAGTACGACGGTAATACTTTAGACGGTTTATTTTTATGTAGTGTAGAATAGGAAGTTTAAAAGGGCAACAAAATTTTTTGAAAGTTTAGATATTTTTTTAACTGATGCACTATTAATCTACAAAGTGTGTAAAGAAGATACTTCCATCCTGTAGAACTATAAAGCATGGTAGGAAAATGTATACCTAAATTTGTCTTTAGAAAAACTAATCTTGTGTGTGTGAGAAATTCAAATAGTTTATTCAGTACATAGGCCCTTTCCAGGGCACTTAAACACGTCCCAAATATAGCTTGCCCTACCACCACTTCGCGACAACCTGGACAACATATGGGCTGGTGCTGAGAAGAAGTGGCGGAAGAAACTCTGAAGGGCACTCAATGGAACTTCTGAACGAAATTATGTATAAAAAGTTGGTAAAATTATGCCTGCGATGTGCTTGTTATTTTTTATGATAAGTTAAATTACATTCCAAGGTATGAATGGAAATCTTTTTTGAGATTTATCCGTTCGTAGTCCTCAAGTAAAGACCCGCGAATCGAATAGCATAAAAAATACAAAACCTCACTCTTGAAGTTTGTTTGGCACATGTTAGGTATGCTAAAATATTGCATTACCCACATGTGCGACATGGAGTAATTTACGCTGCCAAGGTAATGAATGGAACCTTGTTTACGTCAGGCGTGTAAACATCGAGAGAATATTATGGAGGCGTGTGGGTTAATACGTCACAAGACATGAGTATTGAGTGTTCGTCACCTTCGAAATATTGCACATTATTAGGCACTAGACAAAGCGATCATCTGATCATCTCTTTTACAGGCGCGGGATCTACATCTACGTTTCTTGAGCAAGAAAATAGTTGAGTTAGGGCTCTTTCCCAGGGAAATTCAGTATTGCTGGATTATGCCTTACTGGGTCCCGCTAAACTCGACGTTTTGCCCCAGTTTGATCCTTGCCTGGACCTTTGCGACAGAATAGAGAATTTCTTGGACATTATTGCAACTTGCACGACGACGACGACGCTAGGTTTCAAGTCAAGTTAGCCTTTAGGTGAATGTCAAGGCTACTATGCACTCACACACCATGCACTACTATATCGGCGTATGCGCATGGCCTGGCCCTGCATTTTCTCATAAAAACTCATAAGTCATTTATTTTCTGTGTAGGACTGTAGGCATTTTTATTTCTATCATAACGTGAGTTATAGGTAAGTCAAACGATTTCGTGGAGAGACGTTCTATTGGTTCGTGATTTCGTGCCTTTTCTCTTCTTAAATTTTAAATGTTCAGTATAATGATCATTTAAAGTTAAATAAAAACTAGCTTATTACTCGTAATAGCGCCAAAAATGCGCTCAGTCATTATTATGTAGTGACCTAAGACTTCACATGTGAATAATGTTGTGTCATGTTTCAATTATAATTACGACACACTGTTAATCATCAAATATACATCGCGGATTAGTATTATTATCAGATATATTAGTTATTTTAATCACTATATTTTAGCCAAATAATTTTGAGGAGTAAATAAACAAACAATATCGTAAAGAGATTGTACACACGACAGCTCATCAGGCTACCCATTTTTGTTGCAATCTCGCCCCTATTACAACTGCACACGAACCCACAGTGGTTACGTTGACGTGGCGCACGTGCATGCAAATGCAATTGTTGAAATAAGAAAGATGGTTTTCATGAATGAAACTTCCAAAACACAAATTAAATACATTGTGATTATGATTCAAATGTTATACATTTTATAATGATGTGCTTACATGTAAATAATAATTTAAAAAGCCCACAACTGTTTCATCTTTGTATAACATTAAAGTTGACTGGTAGAAAATGCAGTAAGGTATTAAGTTCACCAATTGTAGTTTGCAGTGTGCAATTACTGGATATCAGAAATATAATTTTAATAGAACTTGAGCTAGCAAAAAAAGTATTACTGAAAATATGTTACATTATTATGAGTGTTTAACAAGTTTTTTTCTTATTCATAATTTTCAAATAAGCTTTTGGTAATTGGTTTTATTATTTTAGATGTATTAAACTTGTGTTTGCAATGCAATAATGATATTGTTATGTGTCGGTGAATAAAACATTTCATTTTATTTTTTTCACTTTTCATGCTATTAATTATGTGAAAAATGTGTTTGTTTATTTATTAGGCAATTATGCCACATAACTAAGCATTGGTCTTATTATTTAATAATGATTTCATTATCTAACTTTGATATAATGTATGAAAGTTTAAAAAAGAATTCGTTCTAAAAATCAAAATGGTGCCTACTATAGACGGATAACGGAAAAACATGTTTGTCTCAAATTACCATAACTTAATGGTATGCTTACTATTCACTTCACTCATAACTACAGAAAAAAAAATGTTGTGTCACTAAGCAAAGTTGAAACGAGTTGTGACATTATTAAATACAAAACCATGTTTTTTCTATCAGCTATTGTTATTTATAGTATATTTTTATCGATTAAGTAGGTACATAAGTGCACTTATTTGGTGCTCTAACTACATAATTTATTCCTTAAATAATGCAATTTATTTTATTATAATCTGGAGTTCGCTTCTTTTTTTTATTTTAAAACTTTTTGTTTTTTATGGCGGCAAATGTGTGATGGCTGGAACTTACCCATCCTTGTCGAAGGTTTCATAGCAAGCGTCCATATCGAGCAAACAAGATTCGTCGAGTGTCGCGCCGTTAGCAACCTCCGACATTGTTGGTTGGATCGAAATGAGCTGCCGGCAGCCGCGGTGGCTGTTTATAAAGCCCTCCAACTTCATGCTGAACAACTACCTTGTGTACTGTAAGCCCGTAACTAACCTATTTCAGTCCAAAGTTTATCATAGAAACCGAACATGAAATCGATTATTACACAGGAAATAGCTGTTTGTAGCACTTTTATACAAACAAAATATATTAATAACAATGGTTTATTTCAAAATTAATTATTCAGAACACTGCAAAAATCTAGAAAGTTGCGTAAAGTAAGTTCGTTGCAGAAAAGCGCAAAAGTCAAAATACACCAAAATGTCATTGTCAATGTCATTGTCAGGACGTTTCGTTTTGCTAAAGTAATTTTTTGTTACTTATTAATTTGCATAATCAACTCAATAAAACTAAAATTTATTTATTAAACAGAAAATAAAACTTTAAAGTGAAATTTATCTTTTTAAATTATTTGCAAAATTAATTAATCTTCTATGTGCTCTGTCTGAAATAGTCTGATTAAAACAAAAAGTGACATTTAAAAACTGCCATAGATAAAAAAGTGATGCGCGCGCGAGGTTTGCTGAATTTTCTCGTGTCAGCTTTTTATCGAAAAATAACTCTTTCTGTTATTTGAGACGTGCCGGTGTGTTTACTGCGATGGAATTTAGCGTTCCGTGTTCTCTCGAGTCTTGAGTTTGGTTCTGCAAGGTGGTATACGTATCGCACTTTATCTTCGTCAGTTTAACGGCGGCATGATGGTTATTGAAAAGGTGCATGGTCTTCAAGCGACCAGCTTGAGCCTCAACGAGAGGTTTACGCTGCTAGCGGCGGCAGCCCCAGACCGTGTGGTCTCGAGGCCGCGGCGGCGCCCGAGCGTCAACTCCTATTTCAACGAGAACAACATGAACCTGAGAAATCAAAACTTTCTGGGGAGCGTTGCCGCCCGGCGTCTTGAATTTGAGGCCAAGAGAGTAAGTGCACTGTTTGCTTTCAAAGATTCTGTACAAATAGTCCTTACCAGTTTACAGTGTATAATTTTAACTAATGTTATTGTCCTGGTTTGGTGTTTCATAGCATTCTGTTTGGAAGGATTTTTATTGTATTTATAAGATAATCTCATTGATCACAGAATAATATAGGTACTGGTCTCTGCAGCTTAGAAAAATTATTTTCACAATTTTTGTGCAATCGGTGTAACCTTATTGTATAATATTTATTCAAGTGTAGTACCATTTGAGTTTGCAAACTGTGTTTTATTTATATATCCATAATTCAGTGCAGAATTAAGGACAGGTTTCATATAGCCTAGGCTGAGAACTTTCTCTTCAATATGGGAGATTTAATTTATAGTTTTTTTTACTATTGCGAGCTTGCAAATTACTTAAATTACGTTTTCATCTAAAATACAATCTGTTAATGTAATTTTCAGCAAGCACTGAGGCAGCGATTGGGAACATTACGTCGCTTCGGCAGCGAGAGCAGCCTGCCCGGCCTGCGACGCTACAACAGCTACAGCAACCTTAGCCAGGGCAGCTTCAAGCAGAGGCCGTCTTGGAGGCAGAATGGGAATCTGAGGTATCACCAGTTATTCATTTCCGCGGTGGCATAATTTACAAATCGTGCAAAAATTGGAGTTTTTGGTTTTACACTAATACAAAATTTTGTTACCCCAGCCAGTATAGGAGTTAATATTTAATAAGTTCTCATTTTTATCCTATTTATAATAGTCTTTGTCTGGCAATATTAGCATTTATTTCACAGTAAAGATTTTTTTATAAGCCGTGTGGTGACGGCAGCGTAGAATACATTTATCACCAACCCCTACTCTTCCCGCGGGTGTCGTAAGAGGCGACTTAGGGACTACACATCAAACAGAGAATGGGCAGCAGCGCTCTCTGAAAAACATCAATCTTTTAAACTGCGATCTCCAACCAGCCTGCCAAGCGTGGGGATTATGGCAGTGGACTGTAAAGGGCTGTTGATGATGATGATGAAAGATTTTTTAATGGTGTTGATTGGAAGTAGATGGGTATTATTTTAGTTAAATAAAATATGATTGTATATGCATTTGGCTTTGTGGTTAATATTATTATGCTCATAGCGAGAACACTGTTTTATATTGCTTACTGTTCTTGCAATTTTTTACTCATTTTAAATATTTATACATACATATCTATTGTTTGTCACATAAAGCAATCTATATTTTATGTGAAGTACACAGCTAAATTCGTGACTAGCAACTAGGTAAGCGTAACAATAAATTAAATATTTTACTTATGTATGGCAATAGCATATGAAACTCAACATTTTTATTGCAAAATAACACCTATTATAATAAGATATCAGTGTAGATTGCTGTACGCATACGTTAGTCGTCGCGTGCCTATTGGCACTTCGTCAGTCGTGTTATGATAGGGAATACACTAGGGTTACATCACGTCATGTTGACTTAATTTTAATTATGTAGTTTAATATTTCTTATAATAAAATTAAAAGGTTTCTTAGCAAGAAAGTTATTACTCAAAATAAAATTGGAACTGCTAGCTAGCAATCCACAGATGCACAAAATGTCTAATTCTAGTTTAGTATTAATATTATAGCGCATTTTTCCCGATAAAGTTGGTCGAATAGGCCTTTATGACATAGTGGGTTCGCCTGGATACATCAGTTGTACAATACAAAGCTGTTTTTTATCTACTCGTATTTTAATGCCTGTAATGAAAATAATTAATAAGTTTGTTGAATTCCAGCCGCTCGACGTCATTCGAAAACCTATCGCAGGCCTGGCGCGGCTACCGCCGGCGCCGCGGCGTGTGGAGGGCTCGTGGTCGATTCAGGTACGCTTCGTATATCCTATTTCAACATCATCATCATCACCATTTCAGCCAAATGACGTCCACTGCTGGACAAAGGCCTCCCCCAAGGTTTTCCATAATAAACGGTCCTGCGCTGCCCGCATCCAGGCATCCCGAAACTGGTTTCACAAAATGCTTATGTATGAAAAGCTTTTTATTATTATACGTTATTATTAACTACTATCACGCATTTACTTTTTAATTATGGCGATCTGCGTACCGCATATGTTTATCGAAAATAATGCCTATATTAGGCTTTCAACTAGCTCTTCTATTAATTACATAGTTGACAGTTACTAATTACTTCTACTGTTATTATTTTTTTTTGTAAAATCTTATAATCGCAAGTAACACATCATTTTTTTATTTAAAATTACAAAATAGAAAATTATAATTTACTTCTATTTATCGATAATAGGAAACCGCATTAGAACACGAGCACGGCACTATGTTACGACCGGCACATGCGGCCGTACTGTGTATTTTCACACGATCAGTGGATATCGGAAGAAATTAAATACATTGCGCAGTAGTTGAGCATGACATAAAGTGGTTGCTAACTAAATCGTCAATGTACAAGTGTGTTAGAATTTTTATCACCACTGATTTCGATATCGCAGTAACTGTTACGGCACTGAATTCGTTCGTAAAAATGTTTAGGTTTTTTTTTATTTATAAACAAAATACCAATGGATTTGCAATACTTACATGTAGTAAATGACTCTATTGTTCCTGTAGTTCTTCGTTTCACTTGTTTTATTGCACGTAACGACGCATTATCCAAAATATCGGAGAACATTTTCCTTAGTATGACTGAATCGCGACTAACCTAGCTACGCGGCCGATGTTCGTTTCTGGGCATATCGAGGAGACACGCGTCACGCCCCCTTTTCACATCTATTCCCTTCTATGATCTGAGTGTTCCGCTCTAAGAGGTAAAAATAGATAAAAAATGTTGCAGAAACGAGAAATATTATTTTAAATTATTTTCACGCGTACGAAGTCGCGGGCACAGCTAATTTCTAATCAATCAGAGGTGGAATTTGTCTAAAGCAATCGTAATCATTTGACAGTTCATAACGTAACTGTAACGGTAAATGCCAAATGATAACGATTGCTTTACACAATTCCACCTCTGGTTTATAACTTATTTTAGTATCATTGTCAATGTTTATCGTTGTTTATAGGGGCCGGGGCGGCTTCACGCGCGATGTCCCTCGCTTCGCGGGCGCGGGCGGCGTGGGCACGCGCGGACGGACGCAACGTGCGCGCGGCGGGGTCACACGTGCGAGGGGCAGGGGACGAGGTAACACACATTATTTTATTTTATTTAAACATTACAGACTAAGCGACACGCGCACACTGAGCGACAATGACTTGTCAATTTCATACAAGCTAATAATGAAACTTGCGGCCGCGTAGATCCCGTTTTACAACCTTAGGCCCAGTTTTTTTGATACTTAGTTAAAATAACTAATTGTTAAATTTTGCTACTAATGGTTAAATATTAACAAAATGTTAACTAATAGTTAAAAAATGTACTAAAAGTCAAGCTAACCATTGTTCGAAAAACATTTTTTTCTGATATTTAACCACTTGTCATTTGACATCTGTCAAATTTGACCATTGGTTATTTTAACTACGAATCAAAAAACCGGGCCTTAGGGGTTGAATTTTGAAAAATCCCGTCTTATGCCCGTTTTCACCATTAATCGCTAATTTTTAAGTGAGCCCTATTGTTGACAAATAACAGGAATTTTGTTGACATAGGGGTCACTTAAAAATTAAGGATTGATGGTGAAAACGGGCATTAGTGACCTACGTTCTAAAAGGAAACCCCCATGCAAAATTTGAGACTTCTAGCAGTTTTAGTTTCTGAGATTTCGTGATGAGTGAGTGAGTCAGTCAATATGCGTCTGGTCGCCGCGATTGTCGCCCAGTGTACGCTGTCGCTAGACTACAACAGCGGTGGCTGACATGATCCACTGCTTACTGACAAACTACTGTGAACATATACCAATAGGCTAGTTGCCTAAAAAAATTTTTTTAGTCCGTAATGTTTAATATCAAAAAACATTGGACACATATATTTTTATTTGTCAATCTAACAAATAATTACATAGTTATGGTGCGTTGAAGTTGCGCACGACGTCACAACGTGCGGCATTTTTAAGCAAGCGTTGACGTCACGGGCCTCTTCTTATGAACTTTGGGGCGCTTTATCTCTTTAAATTTTCATTAGTTTGAAAAAGTGAAAAATACGTGTAGAGTATTTTTTGATAAGTTAACTGACGGACTAATTAAAACTCTTGCTTTTTGACCCAGGCAACATCCCCATTACATTACATACTTCTTGAAATCTTAAGTCTTGAAACAGCCTAAAGCTTCAATACGCGTCCCATAACAGTCCGCGCGACCTGTCATTGGCGGCGATGGCGGCGGCGGCGACAACGATCTGCACGCATTGGTGTGATTAAATTCAGTACACAATTACCTATGTAGTATTTTTAGGGTTCTTTATTTTATTATGAGGGAAAACATAAAACTGAAAATTATTCTTAGTATTGACACAATCGACTGGACTAACAGCTGCGATCGACCGGTTGGCCACCATAGTGGCAATTTATGGGACAGTGCTGGGCTGTCCTTCTATAAGCGTTAAAGCAGTAAAAAAATCCACAAAGCAGACAACAACTTTCCACCATTAACTTTCACGTTTATATTCACAGCTGGCATACTCAAGAATCAAACCCAGAAGCCGGTGCCCACGCGTGAGGAGTTAGACGAGCAACTAGACCAATACATGGCGTGTTCGCGGGCCGCGCTCGACCACGAACTAGACGAATACATGAAGAACGCTATGGAGCTCGAATAACGAGCCAAGGGACAACACTACGCACGCAAAACAAGAGAGCACAGACACGGCAGAAGCATCGAGGGTACAAGAAGTACTTAATACTACCGATAGATGGCGCTGTCTTGTAAAAACAGATGGGAGAAGACATTGATAAATCAGTCTAAAGCCCGGTCTCCGAGCACGTAGAATTTTGTCCAATGACCCTAAGCTACCCGTCGCACAGTCGCGACAGCAATATAATTACCCGCGAGCGATAAGGATGGGTAGCTTGGGGTCATTATTTGGACAAAATTCTACGTGCTCGCAGACCAGACTATAGCGGGTTCCGTACCCTGCGTCTATGTTGGATAAGGAACGGGACACAATTTATGCGTAAAAATAGGTGGCGTTTACCAGGAATACATCCGAAATAGAGCATACGGCAAAAACATCTGGAAACACAAGTTGGTCTAAATCAAGTACCTAATTCTACCAATAGATGGCGTTATCCTGCAAAAATGCTGATCCTAATATGGAGCATAATCTTGTGATACAACATACAGTGTTTCTTGGATCCTCAGTTTATTTCAAATATTATCTAACAGGGACGGAAAAATCGCAAATAAAGACACTCCTATAAAAACAGAAGGCGCTGTATACGGTATTTTTAGTAATTTCTCGAGTTGTTTGGAGCTAAATGACGCCTGTGATATAAAATATGCCATCTTCAACCTCTATTGTATGTCGTCAAAAATTCTGTGTCGTGGAATCATATCAAAATGTGGTTTTGCTGTGTTAGTGATGTGACAATTTCGGACCACTTCGCACCACTGCGACAAAATTCAAGAAATCACGAAGTTGTGTTATTTTATTAGGCAAGTGAGTAGATTGGTAGTGCTGGTGATGTAAACAATATATCGATAGAGAGTGAGAAATTATTATTTTAAACAATAATTGACTTCGTTTGTGTGTTTGTTGAAATTAAAACATTGTTAATGAAATACATGTTTTAAAGACCGGCATCAGGGTAAAAGAAAATCGTCTAAGTTATCTTCAGGTCTTCCAAAATACTAAAAATGCTAGACTAGTGGTGCCCGCGACTTCGTACGCGTGAAAAACCGTTATCATCTTGAGGTATGATTCATACCTCAAGATGATAACGTATGAAAAATAGTTAACGTCCTATTTTTAGACCTACTGAATATACACACAAATATTCATAAGAATCGGTCAAGCCGTTTCAGAATTTTGCACTTTGACACGAGAATTTTATATCTATATTATGTATACTAATATTGTAAAGCTGAAGAGTATTTTCTTGAACGCGCTAATCTCAGGTCCGATTAGAAAAAATATTTTGTGTTTGAATAGCCCATATCGAGGAAGGCTTTAGGCTATATTACGTGTACGAAGTTGCGGGCACAACTAGTATCGTTATAAATTAGAACCTTTATGTTTTTGTGATGTATAAACAATAATACTGTAGTTTCATCAAAATCCGTTCAGCACTTTTTGCTTGAAAGGAAGCTGAAAAATTGGTGGCAAAAATATTGTTTGCATCACCCAACACCAACACTAATTATTGTAGACTAAGAACTACAGTGTACAGTGATTGAAAGTATATTTTCGCTACAAGTGTTAGTTTAAGTACTGGTTTAATAAAAACACTATGTAGTCATTCAGTGTACCTTACTATTATATTGCTATAAGAATCTTGAGGATAGTTTTTAAGGTTTGACTGGTAACATAGAGCCTTAATCAGAGATGTAAGAGTAGGCGCACACCGTTGATTTTTTATCTTCCGATAGTTAAGTCGGGCAGTTGATCAGTACGGGCATGTATGGGAGTGCGCACACTACGCCGATTCGATTTGGCCGATTCTTCATACAAATTAAAATCGGGCACAACTATCGGCCAACTAAAAATCAACGGTGTGCGCCTACTCAAATGGTTTAACTTAACTAACACGAACATTTTCAGTTTTATCATTGACTTTCAAAGATATTTGTCAGTGAGTTGTATTGCAGAAGTCAAACTGAAAGTGGTTGTGAGTTACGTACGCAATGTGGGCTACCGTATTTGCGCTTAGTTGGCGCCACTAGCCAGTAAAGTTCTGTCACTCGACTTTGTCGCCAACTGGTGAAAGCTTAAACTAGAAAGTCTATCGTGTTAGCATTGACCAATTGGCGCCACTAGCCAGTAATGTTCTGTCACTCGACTTTGGCGCCAACTGGTGAAAGCTTAAACTAGAAAGTCTATTGTGTTATCATTGACCAATTGGCGCCACTATCGAGTAAAAGTCCAGTCACTTTGGCGCCAAGTGGTGATCACGAATATGGTAGCCCTTACTTGGGGTCATTTGTCTAGACATGTTTTGTAGTGATGGGACACTTGGGTTTTTGAAAATCCCGCATTTGGTTTAATGTCGAGCTCACTAGTCTTATGGTTAAATAAATTATAAGAGATGTATTAGTTTATTCACGACATTTAACACATCGTCCTAAATATGACCATAGATAGATAAGACTCGTTTGTAATTATATATTTTGACGTAAATCTTTCTATTTTCGTATCAATTAAAAAGTTTATATAAATATGTTTCTATTTTTTAGGTTAGTGAACAGAAATTCCTAGATTCATATTAGATACCTATTAATAATTTCAAAGGTATGCCCATTTTCTGTCTAGATTGTAAATTGAATTTTACAGTAAATTGCTCGCAACTTGCGCTATTTGCGCCCAGTTGGCGCCACTGGTAACTAAGTTATATGCCAACTAAAAAGTTCTCAAAAAGCAGTTAGTCCCAAACGACATAATATAACCTTCATAATACTTTTTACAGCTTTTAAAATTTAATGCCTATTTTTCAACTAAACAATTTCATGGAGGAAAACTAAAGTAAAAGCGCTTAATCATATTATAAACTAGCTTTTTGCCTGCGGCTTCGCCCGCGTGGAATTTTGTCTGTCACAGAAAAACTTTATGGCGCGTGGCCCTGTTTCTAAAACCGGGCTAAAAACTATCCTATGTCCTTTCCCGGGACTCAAACTATCTCTATGCCTTTCCTCAAAATCGGTTCAGTGGTTTAGGCGTGAAACCAAGGCAGACAGATCACAGATAGACAGAGTTACTTTCGCATTTATATTTATAATATTATTATAGATAAACTACTCCTTGCTTGAATTTTTTCTATATTTTAGGTTAAAAATTCCAAATAATGTAGAAGTAAGAAAAATGACAATATGGGCATGACCTTTAATTTTTTCCGCCATTGATCATGTTGTTTAAGCCTGCGACCTTTTGTATGAAATTTCTTTAGAAATTGTTAGTCTTTTTAGTGTATGAGACATTTTAAATTAATTTGTAATGTAAAGCATCATTTGTTTGTTATTTTTTATTATTAAGTATGCATAAAATAAACACATTAATATTTTTGCACAATGTATTTTTGTAAAACAAAGTTCCAGACATTCAGGCATAATAATAAGCAAGCCAAGCAAAAATTAAAAAAAGTCAATCGCTGCTAGCTCATGAATATAAACTCGCGTCAATAGGGGCCGTCCATAAATTACGTCATCGATTTTTTCAGATTTTTGAACCACCAACATTAAAACAAAACGCAATCACCCCCTCCTACAATCATCCTATCGTCATTTCTCAATGACCCCCCCCCCCTTCTCCCAAAATTGACGTCATTACCAGTTTGACAAAATTAAAACATTGCAGATTTGAGAAAAATAGGGTATTACTGTATTTGTGTACATCTATGTTGCATTATGTATGTTTATTATGACTTATTTTAGTATTGTACGCGCCTTAGCCGCCTCTCACATTTGCAGTCTCACTTACTAGGTGTGCTGGAAGAAATTTCTTTTTTGGAAATAATCTTTTTGTATGTGAACAATAAACTATAAATAAATAAATAAGAATGACGTCAATTTCGAAACACCCCCCCTCCCTATCTATCATTTACCGTCATCCGCAGACCAACCCCCCCCCCCCTAATTTAGAATGACGTAATATATGGACGGCCCCTTATAAATAAAGGCCAATATAAAAAATACCTAATTTTCAATGTTCCTAGTCACCTGTATAAAATAATAACTGAAACAGTGAAAATTAAGTTTCTATAAACACTGACACTTTATGTATTTGTCAAAAGAGCTGTTTTACATCAAAAATAAGTATGCTAAACTATTGAATCTGTACATTTTCAATATATTGCTTTTTTGACGCGAATATCAGTGGGCTAAGTCCTTATCGCGTTTATAACATTTCGAAAGGGATCACTACACCCCGGTCGCCGAGCACGTAGAATTTCGTCCAATGACCCCAAGCTATCCATCCTTATCGCTCGCACGTAACGAGCGATAAGGATGGGTAGCTTGGGGTCATTGGCCAAAATTCTACGTGCTCGGCGACCGGACTATACCAATAAGTATTAAGTCCGTGTCTTTATTCGACTATTAAGATAGTTTTCTTTTACAGTGTGTACTTTTGTTTTCACAACCAGAAAACGACGTTTGTGTTATTAATTTTAAGTAATATTTTAGAGCTTTTCACAAAGATGGCAGCACTCAAAATGGCCGATTTATCGACCGCTGTGTATAAAATATACCACATTTGCTGTAATTGTCGTAACTCATTTTACAGAGAAACAACAAAGTTTATACAAATTGTTTTTTGGTTGGCCACTAGATCTAAGAAACATAGGCCTAGATAAGAGGTCTAACGCCCCTATTCACAAACATTACAATGAGGTCTCACAGTGCGCGTGGACGCACAGGGTGACACACGAACCAATCACAGAGCTCTATTCAACGCATTGCTTTCGAATTGCCGCTTCACTTAAGCAAGCATTGTTTGTGAATGCGGGCGTAAGTCTTTCAGTGATGGACAAGCCAAAGTGTGAAAACTCGATGAAGGCAGTTTTTTCTGTCTCTTTAAGTTTGTTTATTAACTGTAAAAATCTTTGAGGATCGGTAGCTTTGATCTTGTTAGGGCACCTAAAACGGTGAAGATACTATGGCACTCAAATTAATGGTCCATCCCATAACACAGGGCTATGGCATTTCGTATATGTTTTTTTATCTGATTATATCATACGATATATACTGTTTTACATTTTTTTTTTATTTAAATTGAATGTCAATTTCATTTTGGCAGTGTTACTTTTGCAAAAATAATAATTCTAA